GAGACAATGAGGGAGGCTCAGCAGTACTGACATCATTTGCAGCACAGCGGAGGTTGAAGAGGTTTGTGTTGTGTGAGACAGCAGTTACTTTTACTTTTATCCTCGTCACTGATCAGCTCGTTAGCCACATGGATGGTCAGTCACGTTTCTGCTACGCACTGTTGGCAAGTAGTAGCTCCAGAGTGTATCTGTACCTGCACCAGTGTTGGTCAAGTCTAGACTCTTTTTCTTTCTTTTTTTTCATTCTTGCCACTTATCAACTTACGAGCCGTTCGGGTGGTTGGTCTATCCAGTGTTAGTACAGGAGGAGACTGGGAAACCTGTGATGTTTGATAGTGTCACACTGTATAACACCCTTCTCAATGCTGTCACAACACTCTCTGGCAAATTGTTCCAAGAGTTTACAATTCTCACCCTAACAAAGTTTGTCCTCACAATTTTCTAGATCGGTGGCTTCAGGACAAGCCAACCCCCATTCCTTAGACAACCCTCCCAGGACTTCTTTCCCACCGTGCCTAGTCCTCACCACACGTAACCTAAACCCATACACTAACAACCCAACACCCATACCTATAAAACAGACAAACAACACAAGGAGTGATATTCGACTTCACCCTCACCATGAAGACAGCAAGAGCACAAAAGGCACACACAAGCATACACCCCTTTTGCTACTGCCTTCAACTCATTCAACCCAACGTAACCAGTTCATGAGGACGTAAGTTGGGATGAAGTTCTAATATTGGCCATAAAATATGCCCTACTCTTCATTGCATATAGCCTCAAAAAGTCCCTGAAATTGGTAAAATTTCAAAATTTTCCTAAACTGTATGGGTTTGCTTGGCTCACCTCCTGCTAACACCACTGGATGGAAATAAAATTATGTCTCTAGGTATCTTCAAGTCTTGCCCCACCCCCTTTCCAGAAACTTATATATGCCACTGGTGAAAGTATTTCGAATGGGGAAGCCCCTCACTCTTGAACAGGTTTACAACCTTATAAGACCTACTAACTTAGTTACTTGATTCACCTTCCTCTAACAATGGCCTGAGAACTTCAGTTCATTTTCAACATACACACCCAGTTGGGAAGCATCCCTGGCCTCTTACTCTCATACATGAAGCACTCATTCACCTTGCTGATGGAGCGTGAAAGGAGGTCATGAAAAAGAAAATCAGGAATGAAATTTAAAAAAAAAGACTCATTGGCCTATTGAAACCCTCTAGGAAAGAGCAGCATAGACCCACTCAGCCACTTGAAACTGAGAAGGCTGTTCGGGGATTTTTACCTAATTATGAGACAAGTCTCCCTATGTGTTACTATTAGTTATGTTCCACACACTATCATGCAGACATGCTGTATAATCGAGTTTATAACATTTACCATGCAGCATAAAGACAGACCTTTGAAATTGAGACTGTAATTTACTGTACCTGTGTTGAGGATGGTACAGACAGTCTTGGGTGGCAAAGTTCAAGTCTACCAATATTTGCTGGTCCATCACCACTCTTATTACACCTTATGACATCACATCAAGGTGCCCCTAACAGGAGGAACACAAGAGGAACACAAGAGGAACTATCACTGGGGTGTTAGACATGATTGCAGAACACAGGAAGTCGGAAATAATGAAAAAAATATGAAGTCGGAGACACACGGTACGTGTAAACAAGTGCAGTGGCGGAAATGAATTGTAGGCAGTGCACAGAGCCTTCTCATGGCAAGAATTTACACCACGCCACCGCCCACCAAATTAAAAACTTATGGGGTATTTCCCCTATATGTAATCGTCAGTGATGCGAATTGGGGGTAATGGGACATCGGTTTTTGGGATACAGTATACCAGTACTATGATAATTAAAAAAATAAATATACAGTACTTCATAATAGAACTTGGCCAACAGCACACATTATTTTGTCCTTTGCTTAAGTTAATCATTTGTATTGATATAAACTGATAAAAGCACTGCCACTTATGGAAGCTTTAAAGGTTATACAGGTATAGTATTTACAACGTAATGCAAATACTGTATAGTTCAGATTCATATATTTTTAAGTACTATAATGATAACGTTCATCTCTGATGTCCTTTGGCTTGGAACAAATGTTCTAATTTTTTTTTAAATCCATATTAGTTATGCACTTTTATTATTATTATGCTAGTTCAGAATACAAGAGAAATAATTAAAATTAAACTTTACTTTTAATATTGATTAGTCCAATGTAACTGTCAAAAATAATATGTAATAATATATGTATACAGTACTACCTATATATGCTTTCGGTGTTACAATTATTTCCTACAGTTTTATGAGGTTAAAAATTTAATCATCCTGATTTCAAATACGTATTCATTATTAAAAACTAAAAAGGCAATAGAAGTTGAATATGAGTTTCCATTGTGACTCTGTAAACATGAGAGTAGAATTGTTTCTTAATTCCTTCATGGATATTCCTGAGCCCTAGATGGTGTGACTGTGGCATACTTTTAATTTATCCTCTTTGCCAATGATCGGCTCATAAGCTGCTTGGGCGATTGGTCACGTTTCTGTTACGCACTGTTGGCAAGTACTGGAGTACTGGGCATGAACTGGCTCCTGAATGTAGCGGAAACTGCTCCAGTGTTGGTCAAGACTAGCCTTGAAAGAGCTCACACCCGGTGCCGTCAAAATATTCTCAGGCAGATTGTTCCAAGAGTTCACAATTCTCACTCCAAAAAAGTTTGCTGTATGGTGGCGTAACTGTGGCATGGCCTTACACAACTATGCATTCTACACTACTGTATTTTCCATAATTTCCAAGCACTCAACTATTTGAAAGTTAACTAAATACAGTACTGTAATGTATAATAAAACACAATTTTTATTTTATTTTCAGTTCTATTACAACCAATTGAATGTTGAATACAGGGTATTACATAGTTCTGTGCTCTTAATTATAACAGTTGCACCATAAAGCTTTACCTCCCACACACTAAAACCCTTGAGAGAAGAATGTTCCAGTTGCTAAACAGAGAAACAGGACCAAATTTCATCCAATACAACTAAGAACATTTTACAACAAATTAGGATTATCCGCTTTCATTAATGAATAATACTGTATATGCAAAAATTATCAAAATCTAAATCTTAAATTCATGAACTTTTTTCATCGTATTGTTCGTTTTATGTTTATTAATATTAATGTTTAACCCACAGCCCTCCCCTTAAAGTACACCCCCTGGTTAGCCAAAATTTATTTATAAAAAACCACCTCAATAGCTCCCAACAACCTTAAGAAAAAAGGAAATCACAAAGAAATTGCATTATCACATCATTTAAATGTCCTGTGGCATGACGAAATGTTTGCCCCAGCTGAGCCGAGCCCACCACGCTGTGCCACGTCTCCTATTGCCTCCTGTATGCTTGCTCTTTTATCTCCCTATCAGAATACATCCCCGCACCTTTTAATTTATTTTATAGTTTTGAATTATATTTTACTTATTTCTATATACATGTACAAGTATCTGTACTTTAGTTTTCCACAACTCTCTATTATTTTTTTAACAGAGACAACACACAGTCTTCTCCCTGCTGCCTGGTTCCCTTAGAGTTTGCCACTTGACATGCATGCACAAAATGCTTTCATTGTACTGTATCACTTTTATGGTTAATTTACTTGCTTTATTTGATTTGCTAGCAGTCTACTGCTCAGGTTATTACAGCCAAGTTGACAAAATGCTTACTGAGGGTGTGTATAGGAAGACGGAGGAGAGTGGGATAACGTGGAGAGATGCCAAACATATCAATATTAATAGCTAAATGGTTCTCCAACATCCCAGAACAAGTTTTGGGTGATTTATGGAGGGACAATCATACTCGTCTCAGCCCAAATAGGATGTTTCTTATTGGACAATAATAATCGTATAAGCCCTTCAGGGGTTAGGCCTGATTTAACAACCTATAGTTCCACATCACCAACCTAGATTAAAATTATTTGCACTACCTACTACACTATTAATAAAGGAACAAAATATTTCATTACATATTTCAAATTACTTCACAATTTCAGTAATCAACTACAATCACAGCTATAAAAATGCACAAAAAGAATCACTCATTATCAGACAAATCAGGTTACATTAGAGAACATGAAGAGAACCCAGCAGGCCTGACAGTTTGTTAAAAGCAGTGTGGATACAGCACATTGTACACTGAGCTGTGTTGGCAGTACTGTACTTGAATGTCTTTACTTCCCAAGTTTAAAATTAGGTGCCCATTTAGTTGGGGATGTCCAGGGTGAGTACCAATGACCCTAGGACAGGAGATAGGTGCTGTATCCACTTGGCTGAACCACCCCTAAGATTCCTAAATAGTACAAAATGAATACTGCACCTAACTCACAGTGAACATCATATGAGATTTACAGTAACTAGAAAGACAATAAAGAGTGTCTGATGAACTACAACACCTAATTTGTAAACCAATGAAAGATGTCATCACATTTCACAACAAATGTCAGGGAGAAATTATAGACTGCTTCCATCATGTGATCTCATGTATCTCATGTTTGCCAATTAGCTAATCAGGTAAAATAATAGATTAGCTAACTAGCCAATCAAATGCTATACTCTGTGAGATACTAAGTGTTATCTACCTTTAGGCATTAAGATGCAGCGCAGGCATCCCTCAATTATTTAGAAACAGAAAAAATAGCGTTTACGTTGAAGTCTCAAACAAGATGTTCCTTCCTCTGAACTGATAAACCAACTGACGCCAAGCTTGGTGTGTTGAGTGGCTGTTTGGCGCGCAAAAAACTAGTTTCCTGTACGTCAATTATGTTCAATAATTGTTAAAATGACTAAGAAATTTAATATAAAACTTTTAAAATGATTGAATATTGCAACCTTCTTGATATTTACTAAAATGGTAACGAATTTAAGCCCTAGAACCAATTACTGTATTGGCGGACTAATACTACAGCTGGTGAACAGCCAAATGCAAGCGAAAACATGTTGGGAAAAATTCGTAAGGAATTCGTTAACTGAAATTTTTTCGTTAACCGAAGTGAAGAATCTTATGGAAGGTAGTTTGTTAACCAAAATTTCGTTAACCGAGGCGTTCGTTAACCGAGGGATCAATGTATATTGTGAATCCTCACTAATTCAATTTGTCAGAGCTCTGGGTTGATTAAGCCAGCTCAAAATATCAATTTATCCCAACACATTGAAATTACTTCACAATTCTAGATCCTTGCCTTAACTCACCTCACTATTAGAGAGAAATTTGTGATTTTTACAGGACATGTGCTTTAATGTTCAATAATGGGAAGCCTAACATGACAAAACCTCACACTGTCTTAGGCATAATGCCAACACAAGATTCCATGGGGTGATGGGGTTCTTTGGGATTATTACAAGCAATGGTACTGCTACTGATGCCTCTGAGGGACACTGTATGAGCAATGTACCATTAATATAATAATGTTGCATTAATTTTTTTTATTATTATTACCTGTATAATAATGTATATTACTGTAATATAACAGATCTGTACTGTGTGTGTCCTACAATTTTCACATTGTTCTTCATACACTACAATATTCCACTTTGTTTACAAGCATACCTTGCTCCTTTTTAATCTCGTTTCATATGCATCGGTCAATTTTTCATTATAATTTTCACGTTTAAATCATTAAAGAACTGAATAGTACACAAGATGAGTGGAAGATTTTTTCTTTTTCAAAGGAACACATCTCCCATTACATAAAGAAAGTCACGTGAGTTATTTCAAGATTTCTGGACTAATTCAATATTTACTTCCAAAGTCACAAAATCTTTCGTAAATTCTACCTTGGGTGAAAATATAAAAGCATCCAAAAACATCAAATTCTGAATCTCAAATTAGTGAGGGTACTGCTACAGTACTGTAGCATTCAATAGTCAGCAAAACCTACACTAATAATCACATCCAGTACAAGCAAAAAGGTACAATATGTATCAAGAACATTGACTGGTGTAACTGTGGAATGAAAAACATGTGGTTAGGCCTCACACTGTGTAAGACGGACAGTGCCACAGCCTCTCAATAACTACTGAGCTATTCACTTACATTATATACTGTTTTAACATACCAGACATCAACCACAATATATTCTTGTTTGTATTGTATTCTTTTCAATTTCAGTAAATAAACTTGATATGTGTCCATATTATTATTACCAGTAGTTTATAATATAAATACTGTATTCCTTATCATTAAATAAGTCCTTAAAAATGTCTTATATGTCACCAAATGAAAAATTTGGGGCAATTCTTTTCATAGGAACATTTGATTAATGAAATTTCAATTCATGCTTTCTTTTCAGCAAGAGAATCCTTCATAAGTTGAGGAATTTTTGTACTGTACCTGTCTGCATGATGTAACACAGCAACAAATATAATACTTCACTCACAAAATACTGTAAAACTATTGACTTGCATTTACAACCTTTCACAAATAAAAACCCAAAACATAATCTTCACTCAAAAAGTGCATTTTGACAACACAACACAAGGTACATTACATAAACCTCTCGGTTGAAGCAGTGACAACACGCACATCCTGAGGAAGCAGCTGCACCATTGTACAACTTTAGGCACTAGGGTCTTTCTTCATAAGCTCTATATCTGCTTGTACCATGTCCTTGACAAGTGCCTGCATAGAAACCAGACATATTCTGTATCAGAGAGGATTACTTACATGATTATACATATTGGTATCATTGACAGTTTATAAAACAGAATGATGAAAGAAAGGCAATGAAGAAGGAGTGAATAAAAGAATGAAGACAAATAGGAAGAAATAAGGAGTAAAACGGACATGGTAAAGATACTTTTTTTATCTTATTTAATATTTATGACATGTTTGCCAACTTCTAAACACCATCATAAGATTTACTTACATCAAAGGTGAAGGTGGGTTTCCAACCAAACTTCTTGAAGGCTTTGGTGGGATCACCTTGTAGGAACTCCTGTGAAGGCAAGACACAATCAATATCTACCTCCCAATATAAATAATTAAGATAATAATCATGGATCATTCATTCACATGTGTAATACACAGAGATAGTAGAGAAATATAAGAGATGGAGGGATGGAATAGAATCAATGGGTATGGTAGAATGTGGCTAAAACAAAGGTACAGTAATGATTAGTGGTATGGATTAAGGACTCATGGCACAAAGTGGAAAATGCAAAAAAGTTGTCAATAAGAAGTGTTGGCAGATGTTCAATACCTGTTATGTGCAGTGAGTGTGGAAGGTGAACACACATGAGGTGCAGTGATATAAAGGGTAAATTGCAGGGGGTTGCCGGCTTTTAGTGTGCTGTACTGTGTATGCAGGTAATCATGTGACCTTAGCAAGGCTGAAGAAACTGAACATTGGGATATATTCGTGGACTGTATTAATATGTTCTGCTGCCTGGGTGACATGATCAGTGCTGGAGATGGTGTTGAAGCCTATTCAGGTGCAAGAATCAAGTGGCAGGAAGAAGTGCTGTTGCCTTTAATGATGGCAAGAGGGCCTTCCCTCTGAGTGAAAGGAAGAATGTATGCGGCGAGTGTGAGAAGTGTGATGTGGTATAGCAGTGAAACATAGGCAGTTAAAGAGGATGACATAAGTAGACTTGAGTGAGCTGTTATGAGAATGATGAGGTAGATATGTAAAGTGACACTAAAAGACAGGAGACCCTGTTCAGAGCTAAGAGGGCAGCTGAGTAATGAGAATATTGTACTGTATTGGCAAAGTCCTTTGTAGAGGATGGTTGAGACGGTTTGGGCATGTGGAGAGGATGAATGAGGCCAATTGGGTCAAGAGGTACATGAGCCTAAATGTGAAGGGGAGGAGAACCTGACAAGAGAGACTGCAAGAGACCATGCAGAAAGGAGAGCTGCCATCAGGTAACCACAGCTAATCCACGTAAGCGTGGAAAATGACGGTAAAACGATGATGATGAGGGTTGCATCCCTACTTTTACCATCAGACTCCAGTCTTATAGAACCAAATCTCATTCGCTATAACTTCCCAATCTATCTCATCATTCAACACATTTCTTAACTCAGATTTCTTATATTCCCTCCTAAAGGTGAATTTATTTCACTGAATTTATGTTCAGCATCTCCCCTCCCTTACAGTACTGTTTCCCTTTGACCCCTTTAGCTAAATCTTTACATTCTGTTCATCTTACTGCCAAGACAAAAGGATCACTTCAAGCATCATTAACCTCTTGCACATTTCATCCATTCAAGAACAAAGTCATTTAACTCTAGTAACGTACAGTATGTCCTAATAATGTGTGTCTGGTTACCTGGTAATCATGGTATGACTCCTTTCACTTATATTAGTAAACAATAAGGATTCATTCTGACATAACATGAGCAGAAAAAACTCCTACTTACCACTTCTGCTGGACGGTAATACTTGGGGTTGACAGTCACTCTGACAACATCGGTGCCCTTCTCCTTGCCTATCTCATCCACGCCCGAGCCTTCCCAGTAGATCTCTTGCCCTATCTGTAAAGAATCAATATACTGTACCTCTATATATGGTACATATTTTGTATTCCAATTAATTATAGTTACTTCAAGTCAGTCAAATAATACAACAAAGGAACTAAGATTCGGGTGTAAACAAACCTTCATTTTATTTACAAAATAAAAATTCAAACTTTTTACAGAAGTCATTCATTATATAACACAGTAGATGCACTCCAGAAAAGTACAGTACAGTACCTGTTAAGTGAACACTCACATACGGTGATAGTGAGGCATGCAGAAAAGGGTAAACAGAGGGAGAAAGACTAACATGTGACACTCCATTGTATTCAATTTAAAAAAAAAAACATTAATTAAACAAAACCAAAATACTTAGCTTTATATTCTGTACCCCTTGTAAACTGAACAGAACATTTTATTGTGTTTGGTGATCAATCCACATTCTCAATAACTTTACCAGTGATTCCACTAACTTATGATGGACTTGATGAAGTATATAACACTCACAGCTAGCTTTTATTTTATCTGCTATAACGTGTCTCTTGCTTGTTAACCCTTGTAGTTATCTAGAACTTCCGGTGTGCCTTCATAGCCCCTTGCTCGCCGCTTCCCACGCACGCCCCCAACGCCACACCGATGTACAGTACTGTATATAATAGTCTCTCACACTCCTCTGCCCCTCACTCCTTCCTAAATTGTCAACCTGTCAAGATCAACATCGTGGTGCAGTGAAACATCTATTTAATGGACTATCTGTAATATTGAGGAGCCAATAGTGAAACCTTCACATAACAGAACACTCTCTCTCTCTCTCTCTCTCTCTGCACTACTGTACTCACCTGCATCATTCTTGTGGACTTATTCTCTTAAGTCTAAAGGATGTGCCAGCCTTAGAGAAAACTTATGTGCAGACTGTGTCCTACTTGTGTACTTTTGCCATTGATCCTTGTTAACCCTCCGGTACTCTTGGCCATGATCAGAAATCTTACCTCCTCACAGTCTTTCGACACAGGTTGCGTCGGTAACAGGAACAGTTTTTCCATTTAGTAAACATTTGATAAAGCGGTCCAGGCCCAAATTACACCCTTAGAGATGCATCTGCCAGCCCACGAGGTTAGTGGGCATTTCTACTTACAGTAGAGGTGGTCTCAGTGTAAGATACAGATGAGCAGGAGGGGTTACACCAGCACAGGAGTGCTTAGCAACACAATTTGTGTTGAAAGACCATGAGAAGGTTAATTGAAACATGACACCTCAAGCAATACCTGGACTGTGATTCTAACTACCTTTATTACAAGTGCGACATACAAGAAGACCATCACAGCATCCGCTTATCACCCTCTATACATTTACTATTACCATTATAGTGAAACGTCTATATATTGAACTTCTCTCTCCATATGATCTATGAGATAGGGGTTTCTTATCAAACAGACCCTCGATATAATAGACTTTCATCTTTATTTAGTTCATTAGATGGAGATTTCACATCTAACGGACCCTCGATATAATGGACTTTCTTCTTCCAATAGGTTGCAGAGGCAGAATGTTCTTTGTACTCTGGGAAAAGTAAAAAATGTGCTGAGATAAACTATGTGTCAGTCAACGAAACAGTTTAGGTGTTTTGACATTGTAGATTTGTTTGCTAGCTGTAAAGCCCGAAGAATGTATTTTGAAAAAGTGGCTATACTCAAGTTCTATTTGTATAAAACAGTTTATTCGTCTATTGTTGCCATATTACTTTGTGATTTTTACATGTTACGAATTTCAAGTCTTCTGCAATTTATTTTTCTTTCATTAAAAAAATAAATTTTAAGGACATTGTTGGTGTCTTTGTATTAATTTATCTAAAGTCTTCACCTTATAAATGTGATAAACTTTTATTTATTTTTGGCAATGTGCCTAGTCCTGGCACCCGGGTTGGCTGGCTACACCCCTGCACTCATGTGCAAACCTAAAATTGCATTATTTTAATTTTTTACTTAATACGCAAACTTGTATATGAAAACCCTAAAGCGATAATTTAGATCATACACAATTTTGCGTATGAAAACCCCAAGAGTGTTAAACTGTTAACTGTTGGTTGTACCTCGCGACACTGCATTAGCACAAAATATTCCAACAAAATATATGAACAGTACCTTTTGTTATGGGTGTAGAGGCACTGCTCTCACTGGTCTTACAATTTCCACTCATGACAATTATCATTTCCATTACTTATCAGTTTACTAGTTACAGTATTTGGGAGGCAGATCTGTCCTTTGTTACTTTCTTATGACCACCATTGTCCAGTGTTAGTACAGGAGAAAACAGGAGTACTGTATCTGAAGAAAACCTGCCTTGTTTGGTAGTGAGCACCACATTGGTTAACACTCTTCACACATCCGTCCTGGACCAGGAATTGAACCCAGTACACAGTACTGTAGTGGAAGATACACTAGGTTTGGAGACATTTAAAGGGCATCACACTTGGTTAGAATCCACAATGCTTTCTGTGTACAGGTGATACTGGCCTGAGCCCAGAGAATATGCACGGCAGGAGACATCACACCATCAGCTAACAAACCCAGGCTAGGTCAGCTGATGAGATTTGGAGGGAATTGGGGAATTTTAAAATACTTTCGAAAATTAATGATTTCCAAAAAATTGATTTCTGAATTCCTGATACTGTACTCAAGTGTAATTAGAATATGAGTGCAATATGTCTGCACCTAATCATTCAATCTGTCACATCTAACATACAGTATCTCCAGTACGGAGCAACAATACTGAATCTTCAACTTACCTCATTAAAAGCGGCCTCTACAAACTCCTTGACAGAATGAACTTCCCCTGTGGCTAACACAAAGTCCTCAGGCTCATCCAATTGAAGCATCTGCCACATACCCTAAACACAGAAATTGCATTATAGATTAATAATAAAAAACAATATAAAGGAAAATCTAAATATCAATACAGTATACAATACTGGTATCCCCCGCTCTACGAATGTTTGCTCTAGGAATATTTGCTTATACATACGAATATTCAATTCTTACATCTCTTTCACATTATATGAAAGCTATTCATGCTTAAATGAATATGGTCCCTTAAGGTAATGTACAGTCCCCTTCACTAGTGCATTTACAGGGACTTGTCATATAAACATTCCACAACTCATTATCTTTGACATACAGTATGTATTTGTTTTAATAATGCTTAATTTTATTCCATATTATGTTACTACTGCTAGTTCCCTCTTTCGAATGTAAACAAACACAGGGCTTCCACACTGCACAAAACCTGACGAGCCCTTGTAAACACACTAGTGAAGGTGTTACCATATTCATAGAGTAGTAATTTTTTAATGTGTTAGGTACTAAATTACAAAAGTTAGGCACTAATTACAGTATAGATAGATAGATTTTTCACTGTTTGTGCACTGATAAAAATTTTTATGTGTAATATTGGGGATTTCTTATCAGTGGGGAACTAAAACCCATTTTCCCATATGTTGTTATTCGAACATATTCACTTAACGAATTGTTTTCAAGGAACCTAACCCCTTCATAAAGCGAGGGATACCTGTACTGTACTATACAACAGGCTGTGCAGATTAGCAGTGCCCAGGCTATGGGCTGGGCATGTGATTTTCATGTCCATGTGCATGGTAGCCCGAGGGATAAGCTAATATTTTGAGAGGAAAACTTAGGAGGGAATATGTCAGTTGCTACAACACCTCACCTTCCCTTACATGTTTAAACAGGGAGATCCATCAAAAGGGCCTCTTGTCATCAGTGTACCAGGATTAGTGAACTATATTAGGTGCAGGTAATTTATCTCTACATTAAGCCATCAACCCACCAATTCGTCAGTATCAAGTTGTCAACATTTCAAAAGAACCACTAAGCTGAGAAGCTGCTGTGTTGTGCACACCTTGTTGGCAGAGATGCTAACTGATCTTATTCTCATCATGTTTTTGTTTTTTTGTGTAACTGTTCACCAGGAATCTAAGCCTATTGAGTTACTGTATATTGTTGAAATGTTACACATTTATCAAAGAAAACAAAAGTGAACAAAACTTATGTTAAGAAAATGTGAATTCATGGTACCAGGCACGAAACAAAACAGCAGGTAGACTTGCAGCCACGACAAATGTTTTATTAATGTAATTTCTTATTAAAAACACAGAAAGGTTAAAAATATCCATATTTATGCATGTAAATAAGATAAGTATTGAAGGAATAGAACTTAATACTCACCTGAAGCGGCCGAGATTTTTTTTTTTGTGACAAGACCTTCATGCCAGGTGGCAATTATATCTCTATGAAAAAATATCCACAAATATTTCTGAATACAATCACTAAAATTAAACAAATATTTTTTTCATACACATCTTACCTCAACATAGTCCTTTGCATGTCCCCAGTCTCTCTGAGAATCCAGATTTCCAAGTTCAAATTTTTCCAAGTGTCCCAAATGAATCTTTGCTACAGATCGAGTGATCTTGCGTGTCACAAACGTTTCTCCTCTTCTCGGAGATTCATGGTTAAAGAGAATTCCATTACAGGCATACATACCATATGCTTCTCTATAGTTCACTACTATCCAATAAGCATACAGTTTGGCAGCACCTACAAATTAATAACAGGGTATTAATAAAACTAAAATGACAAAACAACAAATATAAACATGACAATGAATGGTATCTTTCTTTCTTAAAACTAGGTTCCTATGAGAAGAAACTTGTATGACATAAATCTGAGAACATTGTTGTCATGATATATTGTTTGTTTCATAATTACATCATCAAGCCAGCTAAAAGGGCACCTGGAAGTCCTACATATAATGCCCAGGTCCCACTCTCTACTAGTGTGCTGGGGATAGGAAGGGCATCCAACTATAAAACTTGATTCAGATTTGCATGATGGTCGCCAGGACACCATGCCATCTGGTAATCACGACAAATTCATGCAAGCGTGAAAAATTATCTTAGTACAGCACAGTGGAAATAGGATCATCAAGATCACTGAAGAGACCACATTGTGAAGAAAAAATATGTAAAGAACACCGAGCAGAGACTTGTTTACAGAAAACTACCACGCAGCAGCTGGACTGGACAATAACCCTGTACATGTACTCAGATCATGGACTGGAATATTACCTTAAATGGTTCGACTTATAAAGAAATTTCACTTACTCTGTAAAAAGACCCTTATGAAGAAGATATAACAAAATAACACATGCTAGCCTTAAGGCTTATAAAGGGGAAGTATGCATTTTCTGGCCATACAAAACCACAAAAAATCCTGCTCCTAAACAGAAACTTCTAAAACTTGGCAAAACTGAGGGACACAACAACTGAAAAGACTCCTGCTCGATTCACACATTTAACCCTTTATGGACATATCCACTGACAGATACAGTCAGAATAACCGGAAATTGGCGCCCACGTCCACATAGAGTGAAGAAGGTTGCCCAGGCATGAAACTTACCCAGATATATGACTCTAAAAAACTGAACCTATAAGTTTGGTCACTCACTTCATATTTCCATTCATTTACACATTAATGTTTAATCATTTTATGTCCTAAGAAAATGAAACACTTTATATCTCACCATAGGGGGACCTTGGGTAAAATGGAGTCGTCTCCTTCTGTGGAATTTCTTGAACTTTTCCATAGAGTTCAGATGTGGACGCTTGATAGAATTTTACTTTCTTGTCTAAGCCACAAGTTCTAATGGCATCAAGTAGGCGTAGTGTTCCCATAGCATCAACATTTCCTGTATATTCAGCCAAATCAAATGACACCTGTAATGGAAAAAACATAATGTAGAGCATTAAGTGTGCTTAAGGTGGGCCACATCTTTCCTGAAATGCTGTGTACAGGAACAATGTGTGTGTGTGTCAGACAAATCAGGCTATACTGTAGCTTGTTGGCAGAGATACTAATTAATCTGTTTTATTTTATATTTTCTTGGTAATTATCTTTTTTTTGTGGCTGTTGGCCAAGAATTATCACATTTGTCAAAGGAAACAAAGGTGAACAACAATTATGTTAAGAAAATATGAATTAATGGCACTAGACTGATCACAGTATCAAGTCGAGTTGCAGCCATAAGTATTTTTTCTTTTTGCTTTTAATCTATTTGTTATGCACGACAAAGGACAAAAGCAACGCACACTGACCTATCAAAGTTTCACCCATATAAGGTGTTTGTCATTTTCTCACACAAAATTAAATAACCTAAAGCAACAACAACAAGTTTTCATCCTTACATTAATTATCCTACTGAAAGCATAGTATTAATTATGTTTTAATATAATATACAGTAAGTTCCTTCACCCTTCCCCTAAGTATGCTCGGATTACAACCCCTCAAATGTGTTATACAGTATTGTACTTTGTATACCCAAATTTTGGCTTAAATTTATGGTTTTAAAAACTCAATCAAAACATGAGTATGTAGGGTAATAAATGCAATCAACCTTATATAAAGATATCAAGTATTTACTTTTCCTGAACTCTTAAACCTTATTCACTCTACAAAACCAATAAAACCTACAGGAATACTGCCTGTAACAGAAGCCCGATACATCCCTGACAGAGTTGCAGTTTTTGAAGACGGAAATTTTCCCAACCCGAACTCTCCCTATACAGATGCCTTTTACCAATACTGCACAGTACTTTTTTTAATATAATGTTCTCATTTTTGCCACTTATCCACTTACTGGCCATTTGGGCGGTCTATCCAGTGTTAGCACAGGAGGAAACTGGGGACCGGGAAACCTGTGGTGTTTGGTAGTGAGGGTCGCACTGGATAACACCATTCTCACGTGTGTCCGGGCCGAGGCTTGAACCCTTGACATATTGGTGCACGTCACCACTGTACTACCAACACAAGAATATTGTGGATATTTGTGAGTGTCTTATGTGAGTTTGTTAATTTGCTATACTGTTATTTTGAGTAGTACAGTATACTGTACAGTACATGTAGCTGAAAAAAAAGAAAAAAAAGCAAAACCTGCATACAGTATTTGGGATGAGAGGTAGGAAGGTAAGCCAATATATGCTCTCTTTAAACATTATACTAAACAAATACTCATACCTTAACATGGCTCTGAGCACCAAGGTTGTATATCTCATCAGGCTGTACACGTGAGATGATCTTGACCAAGCAGGTAGAGTCTGTCAAGTCACCATAGTGGAGAGTCATCCTGCCATTTCTGTGGATCTAAACAATATGTTATTTTCAGAGTAAGTTCTCTGCAAAAAATTATTTTGATCTGAGATATACACAAAAAATTTGGCCATTGCACAGTATCTAGGTAAATGTTACCGCCACAGTAAGATAAGCTAGAAGAGAGAGAAAGAGAGGGATAACCATAATAAGATAAACTAGGCGAGAGAGAGAGGGGGTGAGATAAGAGATATAGTGTTGACAACGAATTTGCTGACCAATCTGCTGAGGTGTTTCAATACGAAAACATATGGCCCTCGCCTCCGGGCTGAGATTGCCCTCGAGGGTAGTCTACTGATTTCTACAGGACAGACAACACGTTGGTTCAGACCACTAGACCCTAAAACGTGAGTGATCGTGAAGTATTAGAATCTGCTAAGAAACTCTAAATAACTTTAATAAGTATATTTGTGTACTGCAGTTTGATCATATTATACCAATTGTCTCCTGTATCAATAGTTATAACATGCGAGTTATATTTAAGATGTTAACAGGCTATGTACTGTATATTGATTGTATTATTCATAATATGTGTCCTGAGATAACAGCATTTGTTATATGAGAAATGTTCTTTAACAGGTTTTGACCGAATTATATGGTACGCGTCAACGTTGAGGGTTTATTTCTCCAGCAACAAACCAATAACGCTCCTATGAGCGTTAACAGTAAATATTCAACTTTTATGCAATGTAATTAATAACTGTTTGTTATACTGTACTCAATGTAATTATTTTACATCCTAACAACTAGACACATGCTGTCACTGTGGTAAGAGCAATATACATACATCCCTTAAACTAAGCGGGTTTAAACGATGCGGCTCTCACCCCTTCATGGATTGCACTACGGGTCTGACAACTTCCACTACTGGTCGCTAGGGGTCTCTTCGTGGGAGAGTTCCACTCTTCCTCGCCCCCACTGTTACCAGCACTTCCAACCCTCAAAGAGCTCTGTTGTTTACGTATCCCTACGGCCTTCCCCTACATTCTTACCATGCCTCGTAAACACTCTACTCCTGCTGGAGGATCTCAAGGCTCCACTGACACCCCTGCCAAGGTGAGGAAGGTGCTGACTATGGTGGAGAAAGTGGAGCTACTTGACAAGTTGAAGAGTGGTATGAGCTATGCTGCCTGTGGTCACCATTACGGCATGAACGATTCAGGCATTCATTTTCCCCTGCCCCATCTGCCTCCTCCCAGAGGCAGATGAGAATTAATTCTCATCCAAAACTTCATCACCTTCATCATCATTACCAACTAATCAACATCATCATCATTTATGACATAATCATCATAGCAGGGGGAGAGTTGGGCAGGGAGAGGCAACAATGTGACGGTAACAAATTCACATTTTGAATGGTGAATGTGCATATTTATTTTACCATATTTTTACTATTTTATTGTGAATTTGTTATTTTACATAAACCGTTCTATCAATTTTGTCATATTTTGAACATGTGGAATGGAGTTTCCTTCATTTTTTTGCAATTTTAGGTTCCCGTAGGCGAACATCGTGGTTTTGGGTGTTCGAGGGGTTTTCATTAATCTAACCCCCGCATTGTTTCAGGGATATATGTACTGTTTAAATCTGTAACCTATCTTAAAGGACACTCGCTTTGTTGGTTTCATCTCATAGTGTACTAATGTTTATTTTTCAAAGCAAAAAATAATTATGAAATACATAACCATTTTATCAACATTTATTTAAGAATATCTGGGAGGAAAAGATCACATCCAAATAAGGTGGCTGGGGATGGATACTGTACAGCACTACCATTCAGCATTACGTTAGCTTACAGTGAAACCTCCATATAACAGACTTCTCTCTCCATATAATCTGTTAAATGGGGGTTTCACATGTAATGGACCCTCAAAACACCAGACTTTCATCTCTATATATATAGTTCGTTAGACGGAGGTTTGACATATAACAGACCTTCAATATAGTAGACTTTCTTCCCCATATACTGTAGTCCGTTAAATAGAGATCTCACTGTAGGAACTTCTTAAAGCTCACATGGACAGGAATTTATCAATAAGCACCAATCAATCAATAAACCCGGATTACCTTGGCGTCCTCGTACAGGTGACGGATGCGGCCGGTGTTGAAGGAGGATGACCTCCTAATAATACCATGTACTTGGTACCCCTTACTCAGCAGTAGCTCAGCCAGGTATGACCCATCCTGTAATGTTATGACCAAAATAAAAATGTACAATCATTTAAATGAGAGATTTGCTTGCATCAGTGATTAAAAAAAGTAGAAAATCACTGATACACAAAAATGTACAAAAATGGAACAGCGAATCGGGGAGAAAAGTCAAAACTAAAATTTACAAAAGGAAAATACACAAAAAAAATTAGCTGGTTCAAAACTAAAGACAAATTAATAAAAAAAGATTAAAAATAAGTTGTACAAAATAACAACAGCAAAGAAAACAAAGAGAGTTATGTTCAGTGAAAGAATAAGTGCAACTAAAAGAATTAATTTTTTTAATACTGATCATTATATTACAGTACAATACTGTACTGTATAATGAAATGTGTATAAATAAGCAAGAAATGAAATACTGTACCTTTAGAACACACCATCACCTACGATGTTATGATGGTACAAGTACTGCTCCTTAACAACTAAGTTTTTTGAGTGAATAACGAGGTTGGTAATTACAGTACACAAGTCCATCAGCAATTAAATAGTACACTAATTTTAAGAGACAGGATTTGTATATACACTGTGCTGTACCTAGCTACAAGTCCTGTACAGTACTCCCTTACATGTAGTCAGAGAAGATATTATGGTGAAGCAAAGTATGAAAGGAAAAAGAGATGAGAAGTGTGGAGTCCCATTTTACAGCCAAAGAGCAGAAACAAGTTACAATACTGTACCTGTAAGCTCACCACCACAACATTTTGGGTATATCAATCACACTCATGGTGAGATGAGGAGGGAAGTGTGGTTGATGGAATACAGTACAGGTGCTCCTCTACTTACCAACTTTCAGATATCATCATTGAGGGAGTTACCTGCCAGATAAAACTATTTAAAGTGATGTGGATGAGACTGGATTATATTGTTAGAAAATGCCAGATAGAACATTGCCTAAGACGAAAAGAGTATGCCAGTTTTAAGGCTGTTCTGTAGAGCATGGCTGTGCTGTACATCCTTTTTTTTTTTTACAATATGTTTGTACCTACAAGAGTAAAGTTGGACTTACGAACAAGCTCCAGAAATGTGACTCGTTTGTAAGAAGAGGAGCGTTTGTATACCCAAAATGGGTTAACCCTCGTTGACACAGTGTGAGTTGTCTGTACAGTATTTAAAATATAACAAAAGCCACCTGGTTTAAAGATGCATTCTACAACATCATAAGTTTGTTATTATATCCTAATTAGCTATCTTACCTGACCAGTGGCACCAGTAACAAGAGCTACAGGCATGTTTCTTCACACAAGTGTACACAATCTTGAAAACGTCTTCTGGAAATCTTGTTTTCACTTATATGGGCTGTTTCAAGTTAATGGTAAAGTATGCTCATTACACACACACACACAACACAACTTCCTTCAAAACACACAAATTTCAAGATCCTAACATGACAACTGATGCTCATAATGCCTCAATGTAGCAAGTAAGCAGCTGATAATTTGTTATTACTGTCACCTATCTATCTAACCTTCTGATGCTCACAGTACCAAACAAACAAATAACTTCATCACATTCCAAACATTTACATAAACTACTGTACTGTATATTACAAAATAAAAGTGTGGAACTATCCTCCTGGTGTGATGTGTTATAAGTGTCAATGTACTGTACTGTAATGTACTGTGTATAAGCTCAAGGAGAAGGATGCCATTTAGTTAACTAGGTGCCACTCCACAACCACACATTCACAGATTGTGTTTACAGTATATCAAATCAACCAAAGTTATTTTCCTCTTAATATATGTGCTTGGAAACTATTAAAACACTGTAAGCAATAAAGCCTAAAGAATAATATGGAAAGTTTCTGCTTCATGATGAGTTTGTGTTCCATAAAAAAAGCCATTTGGCTATTACTTATACGGTCAGGCCTCTTAAAATGAAGCCTAATCCCACGTACAGTATTTTCACTTAATGTATAGTACAGTACATGTACATGAAAACAAAATATGCGATCTACAATTTTTTCTTTTATAAGATATTGTTGAGTTATGAAAGCAGTTGCCTTTTATGCCAAAAATTCTCAGGCTGGTGGTGACCCTAAACCCAGAGTAGAGTGCAGTAGAGTACAGGATTGTGGTAAACTCTGAGGTACTGAAATGAAGATACAATAACTGGTTATAATGAGTTTCAGTGATTAAAAAAAAAGATCACACAACTCCAGTACAATACTGTATTACCTCAGTCCATTTGTGCTCAAAAAAGATATATTTCATTAATGATTTAATTCACACATAGAGGCAATGACTTAAATGCTGATAACCAGTTATAAAGATGCTAAATACTGTACTGTACTGTACAGGGTACTTTCCTACATAGAAGATATATAAATCCTTTCTTACCTCATGAGAAGGCCAAAAATAGAACGAGGAAAATAGTTTTCATTATATTAATTTTAATTTTTTTCTGTCATAAGCACTAACCTAAAGCCACCAAAAAAGTTTATAATGCCATAAGATAATTTAGTAATTGTAAGTCTTTACAATAATTAGACAAGTTATGTGACCTTCTATAACACGATTTTTTCTTATGTTCTCTTTTGTAAGATCAATTCATATTAACTACAGTATTCACAGAGATTGTCCAATAAGTCCCTAACACTATGGATTGTGTACGAAAACATGGGGTTCTGGGAGTCCACTGTGAATGCATGGTTGGTACACCTCATTAGGCAAGAGTTGCTCTCAAGTTGATTCACCCATGTGGGCATTGGAAGCTGGTGCCAAGCAAGAAATTCTCTAACAATAGATAACTGACAAGAAATCAAACTGGCTGTTACCATCTGCTGTCAAGAATGTCCCTTATGCCAGTCAAGGCCATTAACCTCTCAAACATCCCCCAAGCTACTTCCTGTAATGAAATATCCATGACCAAGCAAATCCCATTTTCAAATAAAGGAATTAATGAAATTAAGGTCTATGCTGTACATATTAGTTGAATGTAGAAAAAGTCACAAATCTAACCAAATTTTATTTCAGCAATATAAAAAGTGTTTTCATATTGTACTTCCTAGTTTTTTCTGTGGGTTCATAGCCCAGGTTCCTTGATGGAGCCAAGCACTGTACTGTATTGTATATTAGACAGCTAATGCAAATGGTGCTCCTGAAAAATAAAAACACATGTAACTTAAATAAAAATTACATCAAACTTTGAGGATCACTAAAAACTTTTATGGATGAACCATAATGCTAATAGGTCTGAAAATACCATTTGAAGTTTATGGAACAGTTCTTTACCAGTGAGAAAGTGATCACTGTATACTGTAATCCAGCACTGTTACATTTGACTGGTGTAAGGTCTATTCTCCGCAGTTTGGCTAGCCACTATTCTCGTTATTTCTGACTTAAATCTTTGTTTTCTTTCATCGCAAAAAAGATGGTACAGTATGCAAGGAGAAAATTGCACAAAACTTCCCCGTTACTAACATAAACCACTGTGTTATGTTATTTTGTGTTTCCACTAATTATAAAATCAAGTGATGTGTTAGCTACAGTGCGTCATGTACAACGGGTCTATAGAAAAATTTCCTAAAGTTGACCTTTCTAACAAGTTGGTCATCTAAACTATTACCAAAATATTGGTACCTTAATCTACCATAAATAACGTAACCTAAATCTTTAGTTACTGTACCATTTTCAATCAAAAAAAAATTCTTTCTTTGAAAGGAACCATTAACTTTACTCCTTTGCACGAGGTAAGAAGGTAATTACTCCACAACATCGGCATGCAATAAAAACGTAACTAGAAGACCTAACCTAACCTAACCTGGTCACTAATTTTGTCAAGAAATAATTAACAAAGTAATCCTCCAAAACTGTACCAGAATATCACAGTCCTCAAGGATGAATCCAAAATATCAAAAGGAGGGGGGTCAAAAAGTTGTGGGTGAGGGAACATGGTGAGTGCAGCGAGCCCTCCAAGCTGGGGGTTTTGGGGGGGGGGCCGCTGTAAACCCCCCAATTTTTTTTTTAAATATGACCATTATCATGGGCATTTTGAAGCCATGTGCACTTGATATTAGGAGGTATTCTGAGGTCAATAGTAAATACTTTTTACTATACAAAAATGTCTAAGTACAATACTGCATTAAAGAAAAAGTATTGGAATTTTCTGATGAAAATGGGGAGTCTAGACCCCCAGCCCCCGGTCCTAGTTATGGGCTCGTAAGCTGGTGTCTGCAGAATAACAGCAAGTAAGAAAGCATTTATCTTGCATGGAGAAATGTCTTCCTATTTGTGGTTCAGGCACACAACTGTCAACAAGTATTACAGTACAGTAACTTTCTTTTCATGTAAAATTAATGTCAGCTTCACGAGTCCTAAGTTGGTATATCATGGGCGCTGGAGATCTGTAGAATATTCCATAACCTACAACATCAAAAGAGTGGTCCTGCTGGAGCCCATTAAATTTGACAGGGAGAGATTTAACATAACCATGCCTTGATTACTAACCTGACCTGTAATACCAGTCAACAGGGCTCGTTTAACTGGAGATTCTTCTGCCATGATGACTAGAGAACCGTTAACAATGATCTTCCAATATACCGCCGAAGGTAACACGACCTAACACTTGCTGGTGTGTTAGAGGGTACGTGGCACAGTGCTTGGTTGTCAAACATTTACTTTACACTACGTATATTTAAATTGAAAATCCTACCCTTTGTCATTAATTATAAGTAATTCAAAATAATCATAAATTACATATGGATTAATTTCACTCTTTCAAATATATTAACTTCTTTTAATATCCCACAAATGGCAAGTATGAGCGTTGTGGAAACACTGTCACTTGACGTTTAACTGTTTGTTTACTCCCGGCCAGGCAGGTGAAGGAGGGGTGGTCTGTGTAGAGCCTCACTATACACCCGCTTGTACTCCACTGTAACGACAATAACAAATAAAAGGAGTTAACTTCCTCAATTTTTTTAATGTTGATGGAATGGTGTAATTAGCACCTTGTTACGCAAGCGCAGTAATAACATTATAAAAATAACTAGGTACCTTCTTAACCCCTGATAATCCGCCAATCGAAAGTTTGGGACTGACCATATTGTCATTGTTTTTCGTTTCCCAATTTAGGGTGAACCTGATTTCTCTGTTATCACTGTTCCCTAGTTCTTCCCCTATTGTGATATCTCTCAACATGCAGGGCCGGTGCAAGATGATTTGGCGCCCTAGGCAAGCCTTTAGATGTGCGCCCCCTTGAAGTTTTGATAAGCTAATGTAGGTACAGTAACCCATTACTACATTGTTTTCATCTTGTGGCTTTATTACTTCACCCATGCAAATAACCAATTATTGTTATTACATTAAGTCAATAAATCCTTGACGTAAACTTCAGAGGTCAGGTAACCTTGCCTCATCCCGACAAAGACAGGGAAGGGGCGGCTCAGCCGCCCTGGCAGTAAGTGGCAGTAAGGGAGGGGAGGGGATGGGGGGTTGGGAGAAGGGTTCCTCAGATGTCAGCCTTCAGGTCACTGCTCGACAGTTCTCCAGGCCGCCAAAGATATGGACCCGGGTTAGTCCCTCCGGGGGGTTAACGAATAATATTAAAAAAGAAAACAGTCGGCTACCGTCTACCTGCCCTCGCCGACCTCCGACCCCCCCCCCTTCTAACATCCTGCTCCGACCCTCCACGGCTCCACCACAGTGTCCACCACAGTTTTCCCTTCATTTTTAATTTTATCCAAGTTTGCCCTGAATTTGTGGCGCCCCCAGATGTTGGCGCCCTAGGCGATCGCCTAGTTCGCCTAGTGGGTAGCGCCGGCCCTGTCAACATGGGTTTACAAAGGGAAAATCTTGTCTAACAAATCTGCTGACGCTTTTTAGGAAAGTCTTCGAGGTAGTAGATAATGACGAAAATTACGATGTTATTTACTTAGACTTTAGCAAAGCGTTTGACAGAGTACCGCATCAGAGGCTTCTGAGAAAAGCTAAGGCTCACGGTATCGAGGGGAAAGATTCAAATTGGATAAAATCATGGCTCACCGATAGAACACAGGGGGTCAGCGTAGATGGTGTTAAATCTGAGTGGGGCTGTGTAACCAGTGGGGTTCCCCAGGGGTCAGTACTGGGCCCACTCTTGTTCATAATCTACATAAACGATCTAGATACTGGGATCAGCAGTGACATAAGCAAGTTTGCGGATGACACCAAAATAGGGCGGCAGATTAATTCAGGGCAGGATGCAAATGCATTACGGGAGGATTTAAACAAACTACAGGAATGGTCAGAAAAATGGCAAATGAAATTCAACACCAGCAAGTGCAGCGTACTTAATATTAGAAGAACAAATACTGTCAATGTATACAGCCTTAACAACATCAACCTAGAGAAGTCGACTTGTGAAAGAGACTTAGGGGTACTTGTAAGCCCGGACCTACGGCCTAGAAAACAGTGCGTTAATGTTCGAAATAAGGCAAACAGAGTACAGTGTATTAGGTTTTATATCCAGAAGTGTAAGTAATAAGAGTGCAGAGGTCTTATTGCAACTATATCTTGAACTAGTCAGGCCGCACCTCGATTATGCGGTTCAGTTCTGGTGCCCTTATTATAGAATGGATATCAATTCATTGGAGTCGGTGCAGCTAAGAATGACGAAAATGATTCCGGGACTTAGAAACCTTCCATATCAGGATAGGTTAAAGAAACTAAACTTACATTCCCTAGAAAGACGAAGAGTGCGGGAGATATGATAGAAGTATTTAAGTGGGTGAAATGAATCAATAAAGGGGATATAGATAAAGTTCTTATAATATCCGAGCAGGATAGGACTCGTAGCATCGGAATTAAGTTGGATAAGTTTAGGTTTAGAAGGGAGATAGGAAGGAACTGGTCCACAAATGAGGTGGTGGACGAGTGGAACAAGCTTAGCAACTTTGTAGTAAGTGCTGGAACGCTGGAAAGTTTTAAAAGGCGGCTAGATAGATTCATGGATGATAGAGAGTGGTAGTAACTCTCGACAGGAACTGCCATGCACAGGCCAACCGGCCTATTGCAGACTCCTTATTTTCTTATGTTCTTATGACTAGTGTCCAACAAGGACAAATTATTTCAATTTAGCCACCACACCCTCCTTGTTTGTTTATGATGAGATCCAGTGATATTAATTATTGTTCATCTGCTACTTTAATTTAACTCATAATTCATTGTTCTGCTTTTCTATCATATCCACTAAAACTATCTAAAACGAAAATTTGTCTCCGTTAATCCCTTCGTTATTAATTTTCATCACTTTACTTTAGTTCCCATTCACACTTGCCTTTCCCTTATACTGTGCACTTTTCCAGTCTAATTCACTAATATTTACAGCTGTTCTCATTACTCACCAGAGCTGTTTATTCTCTTCCTCTCGCTGCGGGGTCGGTATCTCCATGAGGCCGAGTTTTCTTTTGGTTGGGAATCTCCACGGGGCCAGATTCACTAGTATTCGTTCTGTTCGACTACGTTTGTTGCAAATGAAGCAACAAGGAGCCAGTTTGTCACGCATTTTCCGTCATCAGAATGCATATCAACGTTATCGCCACCCAGGGTAGACTTAATTGAGGTGTATAAGCATCTCAAAGGGCACTACTCAGTCGAGTGCCCTTACCTGGAGCTGGTGGACGCTCGCCCCACAAGGGGTCACAGCTCATGGTTGATGAAGCCGCAAGCCCAGAAAACTGTGAGGGGTAACCTTTTCGGAGTGAGAGTTGTGAACTCTTGGAACAATCTGACAGAGAGTGTTGTGACGGCACCGTGTGGGGGCTCTTTCAAGACCAGATTTGACAAGCACTGGAGCAGGTTCAGATACATTCAGGAGCCGTGTTCATGCCCAGTACTTGCCAACCGTAAGTTACCCCCTCACTCTCCCACGGCGGAATTGTATAATACTCAGTTAACAATAAAGGAGAGTGGAGATAAAATAGCAAGGTTTATTTCCAAAAATACAAATCATGATTATGAAGAAAGTGAATATGACCAAAAATAGTATGGAAATAAACAGTTGACAAACTTATGTCGGAGTAATGAGTAATGCTGTCAGACTTGTTTTGGGGGTAATGGTTAAAACTAATTGGGAACCACTCTGTTATAATATCCTACACCAACACGTAGAAAAAATTATGTATGGCAGATGTTAAAGAGAAATTAACACGAGCCTTTAATAATCTTAGAGATCTGCTGCTAAGAAGGTTGCTGAAATAGTGGGTGTGGTCAGAAGAGTATTGTACACCATCAGCAGACAAGACGCGAGGCTGCTGCTAAAAAAGAGCAACTGAAGAAGAATTAAGACTGGCTAGAGCAACGAGAGTAATACTATAAATATTTAAAATAAAAGAATGAAATAATTAGGTCGAATAATTAGGAAAGAGCAGATAATGATTAATGTATTAAAAAGCAAAATCGAGGAAAAAAGAACCAAGGAAAGATCAAGATGGGATGACTGAATGAAACCAAAAATTGCCGCCCCAGAAGAGATGTAATATTTCACAAGTTGATGAAAATGTTTGTCAGTAATTTGTGTCAAGTGAGGATGTAGTGGATATCTCCCCTACAAATGCCGTTTGTTGCTGACTAGCCGACCCTCTTCGAATTCCCCCAGCTTACGCCTGTGGTCTAACGTCGGCAACCAGCGCCGCCTAACATTGCGGAGGTCAACTATCAAGCCACGCCTACCTCCGCTATATAAGACCTCACCTCGTGGTGACCCTGCTTCTTCTACCTACAGCCACCAGCAAGCAACACCTCCTCTGCTCCTGCCTGGCGGCTCTCGCTCTCGCCGGCGACTATGGCGCCCCACAAGCTGCGTGTCCTCCTCTGAGCACGCTCCCCAACCAGCTCTCTCTACATCACGCTTGTAACCACGCTGCCACTTCCCAGCACCAAGCTGCATTGTACATCCAATACAATATGTATACAGAGAGCACATTGTGAGTTTCCTTTCTCCATCCCATCCTGAGTGTGAACCAATATCTCAAAACCCCACAAAGAAATACGCATTACTGTTGACGCACCTACGTGTATGTGTATACTCGTGCATTATATTGATATACTAATTTTCAAAATACGTATATTCATATATATATATATATATATATATATATATATATATATATATATATATATATTTATACTCTGTATATATACAGTATGTCGTCATGGACCAGCAAACTTTACAACCAACTGAAGTGCCATGTATTGCTGGTACACACACACACACGATTACTTCCATACAAGACACCACGCACACATAGACACACACACACAGACACACACACACACACACACACACACACACACACACACACACACACACACACACGGGTTAGTGTAAACAGACAAGGTAAATATGTGAAGCAGTATATAATTATCCTCACTACAGGACCCAGGCGAACGTATATACTATGTGCCACGTTCACACTGAGTAGCACCTGATGATGACACGTTCACACTGAGTAACACCTGATGATGACACGTTCACACTGAGTAACACCTGATGATGACACGTTCACACTGAGTAACACCTGATGATGACACGTTCACACTGAGTACCACCTGATGATGACACGTTCACACTGAGTAACACCTGATGATGACACGTTCACACTGAGTAACACCTGATGATGACACGTTCACACTGAGTAACACCTGATGATGACACGTTCACACTGAGTAACACCTGATGATGACACGTTCACACTGAGTAGCACTGAACGTGACCACTTGTTATATAATTAATTATTTACTTCCAATATATAAATGTCTAAATTCTGTCCTGTGTGTGTGTGTGTGTGTGTGTGTGTTCACCACTCACACACCACCACACTAGAGATGGAACAATCACCGTCGTCGACTCGTGCTGTTACTCACACCCTCACTGCCAACACACTGGTAGGTTGGTTGACAGGTGTGTTGGGGGACGGGCCGCGACAAATGTACCGACAAGTGTTAAGCCAACACAACATGGAGCGAACACTTGTGATAAAGAATCCATCTGTGTCCGGATACAGTACCTCGTTATATTAAATAAAAAAGAGTAAAGCCAAAAAGAATTATCTTCACCATCCCTATGGCTTATTTCACGTGAAGATTAACCACCCTAATGCTATCCGCGGTGGGGGGTAGGTTAAGTTAGGTTAGCGTTCGAGTGGTTAGTCGTCGGGTGAAATAAGCTAAGGTGAATTTTCAAGTGATCCCCTTTATTATGCCATTTTTAATAACTACCTGGTAAAGAAACAAAAGCATAACAGTAACACGTGAGAATAGAGAGCAGGTGAAAGCTATTACTGTAATTCACACAAGTACTAACCTAATCTAACCTAACCTTGACAGAGGCAATATGAACGATGAAACTTCTAAGAAAAATTGCCATACTCAATTCTTAGTATTTCAAAGCGTTTACGACACAAGCTAAGGTAGTCTATGTTTAACACTCATGGGTCTCATGTACTTGAGAGCATTATCAGAGATGCTGCAATGGAACATCTACTACGAAACAACCTTGTAAAGGATTGCCAACACGGTTTTATGCCGGGGCGCTCCTGCTTAACACAATTGCTCAAGGTATTGGATATTTGGACCCATATTCTGGAACGGGATGGTGATATCGACAATATATATCTAGATTTTGCCAAGACTTTCGACAGAGTACACCATGTAAGGCTGAAAATCAAACTGGATGGGTGCGGAATTCAGGGAAAAGTCCTTGCGTGGATAGAAGACTTTCTACATGACCGCAAGCAGTGTGTGGTGATTAATGGCACGAAATCATCATCCGTACCTGTAACAAGTGTGGTACCACAGGGCAGTGTATTGAGCCCGCTGTTTGTTTGTATCATAAATGACATGCCTGACGTTGTTCACTCCTCTATACAAATGTTTGTGGATGACGCCAAGTTATTTCGGGAAATCAAGAACCAAGCGGACTGTGAAGAGCTGCCGAAGGATCTCTGTGAACTCCAAGAATGGTCAAAGAAATGGCTGCTGAGATTCAGTGTCATGAAGTGTAAGAGGCTGCACCTGGGGCGTATCAACGGTAAGGAGGCGTATCATATGTCCCAACGGGTTGAAGACACTTCTCTATTTGAGACTGAATGTGAGAAGGACCTAGGTGTGTATGTTGACAATGAGCTGGCGGACGCTCGACCCACGAGGGGTCGCAGCTCAAGGTTGAAGAAGCCGCAAGCCCAGAAAACTGCGAGGGCAAACTTTTTCGGAGTCAGAGTTGTGAATTCTTGGAACAATCTGCCAGAAAGTGTTGTGACGGCACCGAGTGTGAGCTCTTTCAACACCAGACTTGACCAACACTGGAGCAGGTTCGGGTACATTCAGGAGCCGGTGCATGACCAGTACTTGCCAACAGTGCGTAACAGAGACGTGACCGATTGCCCAAGCGACTAACGAGCCGATCAGTGGCGAAGAGGAAAAAAGTAAAAAAAAATGGAAAAAAAAGGGTCTCATGTATAACTAACTCACAAGTCGGAATGGGGGTCGGGGATGTTAAGATTTTTTCTTTTAAACACCAAAAAATGGACAAGAAAAACGCTTTTGCTGAAGTACTTAGGCAGTCACTACATATTTCAGTTTCCTAACTCAAAAAGTGTTTGAGATGTTACCCGGAAAACCAACCAACCAAAACGACAATCCTGATTTTTTTTTAATCTTTATCTTAACTGTGAATTAATTTTAACCTTTATTATGACTCCTAGCTTATCCTAAAATGAAGAAAAAGATGACCAACTAATCATAATAAATATATAATCTCGATCAATATCCCTCACTCTGATAATGAAAGTTATCCCAGAATACCTCCTCCTCCACTACCCAGGCGGAAATCACTGTATCATAGCTGAATCTTTTTCATAATGCTTATAATTAAAGTTTCATGCAGTAGAAGACACCATTATAAACGTGTCCGGTCACTGTTTCACCCCACCTGTATTCTATCCCGCTTCCAAGTAGTTCACTGAATTATTAGTTGACAGATGAGAAATGTCCGCGACACAGATCTACATGTGTACGTATACCTAGTACACCATCACCTGTGCACTCAAGGTGATATCGACTGAAGGGATAAAATTACACCTAATGACCTTAATAATTCTACTTTTTTTTTTATTCCATTAAGTTTAATATTCAACTTACTATAGAAGGGAACAAACGCCATAACTGTTGGATCTCATCGTAACTAACGAGGAGAGTATGTACAGTGTCCACTGTAGTCGCCCCCCGCCTTTTTTACGGGGAATAGCCCACCCGGGCACAGGTCATCGACCCACAACGGGGCCTGGGGCGAAAAAATATGAGTAAATAAGATTTGGCACAAGCTGTTACTTTTTCGTAGAAAATCTAAGCTAACTTAACCTACTTTACGTATAATTTGGCTATCTTCTGATCGTATATAACGACTTAAATGCAACAAAAAATAACCTATACGAATTATTTCCATAAGTTATAGCAATGAAAAGAACATCTGAACAAGTTATCCTTATTTGACAAGAACGTCATTTGGTTCATGCAGTTTTCATCCTTCAATATGGTCGAGTTAAAAAAAATCCTTTTGGCTGATGTGCAAATGTAATGAACGAAAAAATATAAGATAGTATTTTAAATCCTTGGGGCATCAGGCGAGGCTGTCATAACCAATTGTGTTTTTTACCTTTGATGAAAATTTTATAACCCGAGTACCTACCTATACACTGGAAACATTTGTCGAAAAGGATAGGCGTAATAGTCACAAGAGGTGAAGTACGGACGCTGCCTCAAGTTTCGAATGCTACTGTACCATGCATCCGGACTCAACTACCTCGTTTGTCGTGTTACAATCCCAATCCCGCGAACACTGTTCACCTCCAACGCAGTGGATCACCATGACGCAGCGTTCTGCGAAACTAAAATTATCATTTGGTTCCCCATGATTTCCGTGTGGAGCCATTTATTCAGGTACATATTTTTTCAGGGTTTTGTAATGGCTATGTGTGGCAGATTGTAGACAAGAACGAAGACATTCTACATCATCCTAATGACCCAGGTATTTGTAGGAAGACATGTATACTTGTACCTTTAGGGAGCGGATATGTTAGTCGCCAGGGGACTCTCGTTCTTGTAGCATAGTCATTGTTGCCTCAATCCATTTATTAGAGGCATGCTGGCTCCACTAGGAATTCCGATTGTGGGTTGTGCGGTGGTCGTTGCCCTCTCAAGACCACATACTTCGGTAAAAAAAAAAATTTTCTTACGCCATTTGTCCACTTCTTGGTTCCCTATTTTCCTATTAATCACTGCGCCGAATTATTTATACAAAACCTCCATTTTTATTAGACAATTTACTCATTATTTTGTTTGTTTTTCTTATGGTTTACTGAGGTCTGAAACTGTGTGCGTACAGCGAGTAGGCACGAAATTTACTTTTTGCAGTACAGGTATTCTGATTATCTCGTGCAATTTATAATGAAATAAAGAATGTCAGATAATACTGTATATTTATTAACACTAAAAACATTTTATAATGAAATTAATATTCCCAGGAAGGTGTAAACGAAAATATTTGTTCGAGGGAATAATGGTGAGCACTTGAGCAAGGTAGTGCCCTTTGACGTAATCTTCTTGTCTCTTAAAGTGTAGCGGCTCTTGTGATTGTCATGCATCTGTAACTCTTAATGATGACCTTTCTTTTCTCAGTGGCGTAAGGATCCTTGCGGTGAACTTATTAATTCTGTTACTTTATTTTATCTTTTTCACCTGGGCAATTTATCTGTTAAAAATAAAAGGTGCTTCATTAAGCTCCGTTCTGTCCCTGACTTTCTTTTCCTGTTTGTTAATGACTTCGTTTCATCTACTCTCTCTTATTTATTTATACGCCCACGACTATAGTCTCCATTGCAGAGGTAATTTATTCATAAAGAAATACCCAAAGACTTTTATTAACACAAGAACTATTACGCTAACTAATTTTAATAATCGTTGATATATTGTTGATTACCGCAGAATTTATATTGGTGGTACAGCGGTAAGACGCACATCAAATACGTGGTGGGTTCCAGTCTTGTCCCAGGTGCTATCCTTTTACTCTTTTACTTTTATCCTCTTCACCACTGATCGGCTCGTTAGCAGCTTGGGCAATTACTGTAATCTGTATCTTATTCAGCTATAAGACAGTTGACTTCCCTGTGGAAAAGCATATTATTATAGTATACTTAAGATGAATACTACCACTACCGTATGAATAGAAAGCAACACACACACACACACATATATATATACTGTGTATATACATATATATATATATATATATATATATATATATATATATATATATATATATATATATATATATATATATATATATATATATATATATATATATATATATATATATATATATATATATATATATATATATATATATATATATATATATATATATATATATATATATATATATATATATATATATATATATATATTAGCACAACCGATAAATAACTAGTGTTATAAAATGAAATGCGTGATAAACTCTCATAAGATATGTTCAAGGAACATTAGTTGAGCTGTAGAGCGAGTGGCTCTGGGGTTCAGTGTCCAGGCCCTGGGGTCACGCACCACCATGACAAGGCACAGACCATCCTGTATATAAGACCCGACATCTACTGCTGGAGGTACACTTCGTCCAGGTATCCTGTTTCTTCTGCATCACTTAGAACCCAGGTGAGCTGCCGCCCTTGCTTTTCTCGTGAGTCTTACCATACTATCACCCACTTCACCTTAATCACAGACTTTATATTGAGATGCCTTTTATAGCTCCTGTTTACATATTCTTACTTTACCCTCTTCTCCACTTGTTAGCTTACTAACTGGTCAGGCTGCCTTTTTACTTTTGTCCTCTTCACCACTGATCGGCTCGTTAGTTTGGGCGGTCGGTCACGTGTCTGTTAGGCACTGTTGACAAATATTGGGCATGCACTGGCTCTTAAATGTATCGGAACCTGCTCTAATGTTGGTCAAGTCTGGTCTTGAAAGAGCTCACACTCGGTACCGTTACAACACTTGCTGACAGATTGTTCCAAGAGTTCACAATTATCACTCCGAAAATGTTTACCCTCACTGTTTTCTGGACTTGTGTCTTCTTCAACCTTAAGCTGTTGACCCTTTGTGGGGCGGACGTCCGCCAGCTCCAGGTATGTAGTGCCCTCTGAGATGTTTGTACACTTAGATTAGGTCGCCCCTTGCCCGTCTTCAGTACTGTATAAGCTAGGTAGTTGCAGGCGTTCTAATCTCTGGGTAGCTGAGGTTTCGAAGAGCAGTCACCAGTCTGGTGGCCTTCCTTTGGACATTTTCATCAATTGACAGTTTCTAGCATATCTCGGAGACCAGACAGGGTGACAGTACTCCAGACGGGGAAGCACTTCACTCTTGATGATAGTGATGAGCGACTGACCATCCAGATATCTAAACGACCTTTTTAGACCTACTAGTTGCGTTGCTTGACTCACCTTTTCACAATGGCCCAAGAACTTGAGTTCCTTGTCGACATACACACCCAGGTCCTTTTCACATTCGGTCTCAATTATGCAGTTTCTTCGTCCTGTTGGGAAATGTGATACACCTCCTTACCGTTGGTGCGACTTAGGTGCATCCTTTTGCGCTTCGTGACATTGAATCTTAGCAGCCAATTTCTTCGTCCATTCTTGAAGCTCATAGAGATCCTTCTGTAGCTTTTCACAGTATATTTGGTTCTTAAATTCCCTAAATAACTTGGCATCGTTCGTAAACATTTATATGGAGGAGTGTATAGTTTCTGGCATGTCATCTATGAATTCAAACAAACAACAACCCGCTTGTCACAGGTACACATGACGATTTCGTGCCATTAATCACCACACTGCTTGCAGTCGCGAAGAAAGTCCCCGATCCACGCTAGGACATTTCTCCGAATTCCGCTCGCTTCCAATTTAATTCTCAGCCTTTCGTGAGATACACTGTCGAAAGCCTTGGCAAAATTTAGGTATACATTGCCGATATTTCCGCGTTGCTCTAGAATTTGAATCCAAACATCCATTACCTTCAGTAATTGTGTTAAGCAGGCATAAAATCGTGTTGGCAGCACTTTACAAGGATGTTTCGTATAGACGTTCCATCATAGCATCTTTTATGATGCTCTCGGTCAGTTCTCTGTTACCCACTGTTGGCAGGTACTGAATATATATGGAAAATAATTTGTAACATATCGACGATGAAATGAGTTCGGAATTTTTACATATACTGTATTTACATGCAATATTTTATCTTAAGGCGCTAGAATGTTGTTGCACACCCTCCAGCTAACCTTCCTCACTGTATGTATATTTTTCCTTTTACCGGCATCACCTTAGATAAGTCAGATTAATATTTTATGCCTTTTAAAAAGTTCTATCGCATATATTCATCGTATCTCAATAATCTTATGTTAAGTGAACTGTATTCATGTTATAAGCAGAATGAGGTGGACGGAATATGTAGCCTGGAGAGAGCAATCTAACCCGAATGAGCGTGTATCAATCACCAGGCATAAGAATATCGCTCAACCCTTTTGTTATTGAGGCATAATTCTTAGGTTTCATTTCTTGTATATTCACATACTTTTAAACATCCTTTGCTCAGACCTTCCATTGTTTGTTGGTCTTTTAATCCCAACAATGTTCAATATTTCATACATGTATTGTTCCATTTGTGTATGAATACAGGTATATGTGGTGTTGAGTTTGACCCAAGCTCACTGTCGCTGGAAGTAACCATTGTCTAAACGTGACCTTATACACCGGGAGGCAGTATTTACATTACTCACCTGGGGTTCTTGGGACTACCTACTCTTGGCTACTAATAGTTATTTTTTTTTTACACAGTATCGTTGCTTCGTCATGAAGATGTTGGTGCCTTTGTTGCTGACGTCGGCACTGCTGGTGGTGGCTGTTACTGCCAGTCGACGTGACTGTCCACCAGGCCCTTTTCCACCCAATTTCAAGACTAATATGAGTAAGGTTTACATTGGTGTACAGCATACTTCATTTGGGTTTTAGGAGAACTAACTACCTGTATTGTTTTTTAACATACCTGTAGTGGTGTTGGTGGATGTGTTTGTGTACTGCTGCGTATGTAGACACAAAATACCTGGTTTATTGTTGTCACAGATAAGTAACATCTATTTTCAATACAAGAGAAGTATTTAGTAATTATATAACATTACAAGTCATGCAGGTGCTCCTTATTCCCAGTGAAAATAAGATTTCAACCGTTTTCTTAGGTTATCCTTGGTTAAATTGACGTTCTGTACTGTTTGAGTACTTGCACTGACAATGTGAATTTGTAGGGATTCTAATGAATATCTATCTACAGTATGTCTGTCAACACCATCTCTTTCTACCAGTCTTATAAGTTTCCTGAAACACAAGCATTCATACTTATCATTTGGTCCTTCTAAGTCTGTTTTATACCTTGAGCTGCTTATTTATTTTAACGCCTTTTCAGTTTTATTTCCGATTTTCCCCATTTTCTAATTTACTCATTTCCCATATACTTACGTCTCTCTCTCTCTCTTGATATCTTTGTTTCCATATTTCGTTATTTCCCTAGCAAGTATTGAGTTACGGCAAGTGATCATTATCCTCTTGTTCCACAGAGAAGTGCCTGTGTGACGATGAAGGTATTGATGAGGAGGCCTGCAAGACCAAGGTGAACCAAATCAAGGATTCGTTCAAGACATGCGTAACATCAATCATCGACGAATTTGATTTAACAGTGGGCAAGTATTTATTTTTAAAAAGCTTTTAGGTCTTAAACACTTTTATTATACTGTAGTGTACATACACGTCCTATTAAGCCATCGGTTCCCAATTGGGGGTAAATTATCCGCAACAGCAGAGTTGGTACCCCTCGACTCAAAATATCTCTACCAACTGTGACTATTTTTCTTTGTTTCCTATACTGTTCTCCCAACTCTACCAACTATTTGGAACTCTTTGACTATCTCACTTCTTGCTATCCACACACCCCAACACCGAGATCCTCCACCAAGGGGATTTTAATGTACATCACAGAGAGTGACTTGGCTCTGCAAGGGATGACCCAGGTGGAGCTGAGGCACTCTTTTTCCCTACTTCATGCTCAATTTCTGCCCTCTTAGGGTCTTCTGATCACAATCTTATTTCTACTTAGTCAAACTGGGCACGACCACTTCCCCCACCCCCCTCTAAACGTCAACTATGGGACTATCGGAGGGCTAGCTGGCAATCTTGGTTAATGGTTAAAACTAAGTGGGAACCACTATATTAAGCCACATAGAGATATCACTTTATTATTGTTATATCATAAGTGTGCATTCGCTGATATAAATAAATATTCCCGTTTCATTTAAGACGTTGATTACATAACCAAAATATACATAAATTAAGTTAAGTTAAATTTGGTAAGGTGAGATTAGTTAGAATAGCAATGAAACTATTCGATTAATTGTGGATTGATCGTCCTTACAGAGTATATAAATCAGATTAAATTTTCAATGAAAGACATATTTACAATATTTTCCTGAAACACAAGTACCTTGTACAGAATACATGACTGTCTATGATGTACAGTCGGGGTCAACAGTTCACTCTCCGTGGTTAGTTAATTAGTTTAACAAATTTATTGACAAAGCTTGGAGTACAGTTTGCATATTCTGAGTAATTCTGACAGGTCTTGACACTGAGGGTGGCATAACTTCTCACTGCCGAAACTGAGTCACGGGAATAAGTCTATTTACCCCGACTGTCATATGGTGCTGGTGTGCTGTTTTATCTCGTTTGGAGTCGATGCTGCTTCATTTTAGGAGGGAACGAACTTTTGACCCGACTGTATATAACTGGTGTCTCAACAGAGTCTACCGGCAAGCCGATACCTAGCGCAGTCTTCCAGTGTGTGGCAAACAAGGAAGAAGAGGTAAGTGTGAATGTTTTTTGTTCCTCCACCAGTGTATCCATCACTGTCTCCTCTACACTCTCCACCATTCTCTCTTTGTCCTCATTACACCCATCTCCATGATGAGCGTCTTTCACTCTCTCAATTATTTCTTCCCACCACTCTAAAAATCTCTCCATTACTATGTCAAAATCAATTTCTGCATCGCTTTCTCTTATCCACCACTTTCTCCGTCTTCATGACTACGTGTACAATTCTCGGTCATCCTTACTTTATGATGTCTTTTATTTCCTGTTTTCATTCCTCATTTTCCTCTCTATCTTCATCACTCTGTCTTCGTTAGTCTGTCCTCACCACCCATTGTTTCCACCATGATCTGTCCCTCCATCACTGTGTGTGTCATCAGTCTTTGTCCTCACCCTGTCTCCAGGCCTTTCTTTGTGTTTATCATTATATATATATATATATATATATATATATATATATATATATATATATATATATATATATATATATATATATATATATATATATGTGTGTGTGTGTGTGTGTGTGCAAGTAAATCACTGTAGGTGCGCGTGATCAGGTACTGTATATGCTTGTAGTGGATTCCTCCCCTACTGACAACTTACATATTGAAAATGTCAAAATATGACTAAGTTTTTTTGATAGATTTGAATCATACACCTTCATCCTTATCAGTCAATAACAACTTTGTTTATTTCACCACCAGTTCGGAATCTGCCTGGACAAATTCAAGCAACATAAACGAGGGCAGTAATTACAACAGCTGCAGCAAAAACGGCCTCACAAACATTGAAAATATTGAGTAGACTAATTATGTTGTTCTGCTATAACAGCATTTCTGGGTTTTTGTTATCTTTAGCCATTGTTATCTTTAGCCATTGTTATCTTTAGCCATTGTTATCTTTTGTCATTGTTATCTTTAGGCATTCCTAATTTGGCTTTTTAAAAATTCTGGTCCAGCAAAATCATTGCAAAGTTAACTTTTTATTTTGGTGTATTAAAATTACAGTAATTAAAAAATATTGTCTTTTATTCTAACATACTGTACGTGGTTCTATATAGTAGAGACATACAGTCACACTGAACACCGGAATCTTTTCTTCAGAGGCCAGAATGAATAACGACTGTGCATGTGGGTGATGGGATATGCACCACTATGAGGACACTCCTTATTACAGTACTGTAATATGAATTAAGGGTCCCAAGGCCTGTGATGACTGTTTTCTCTCCTCTCACTGTGTTCCACCAGTCTTATGCTATTGTGATACAAACTTGAGACACAAGGTCTTTTTTGTGTACTCTGTAGGTGATATAACTACAGAGCCATGTCCGAAATACCTGCCAATCTCTTAGAAAAAAAAAATCCAGAAAACTTATCAAAATTGAAAGAAACGCTGGTAGTAATGTATGAATTACTGTGGTGTTAATCTCTCTGACCTAATATAGTGGTAAGAACAACTGTAGTGTCTTTATATGCCATTCGCTTCCACTATTTAGAAGATGTACAGAATAAATGTATGCAGGAAAGTACAATACAGTATGAGGATTCACACACATGCTCAGTAGGAATCCTTGAGGGCTTGAGCACCTGCCCTATTTGTCTCTATGCCAAAAGTGACATTTTGGCCAGGTGGAAAGTTTAAGTTTGTGCCTTCAGTCAGCCTGACACAATTACATTAATTTTGAAAAGGTTAATGTAAAAAAAATTATAGACAAAATAAGCCCTGTTGTTGTCAGATGTATTTACCAGTTTTCAATCATGATAAACTTCTGTTGCATATACCATATGTCACTTTCAATACTGACTTGGCAGCCGACACACACAGATGCACTACCCAACCAAGTTTCTACACCTGAAGCAGACAAACATCAGTCAGTGGCATGGTAAGCTTAAAGAACTCTGTGGACAAAGCAATAAGACACCCCCTCTCCTTCCTTAGCCATTTCACTGATGGTGACGCAGCTGAGCAATCAAGCAACCATTTCGCTACTATATGCCAGACGCTTCCCGGCTTGACACAACCAGTCTCCCTGCTTGATTTGTATTTCTCTCTCTAGTCTGTACTCACCCCTGAAGATGTGAATTACACGAAAGCGCTTGGGAACTTCGTGTTTTCTTCTTTCCTTGTGGTTATCAGCATATATATATATATATATATATATATATATATATATATATATATATATATATATATATATATATATATATATATATATATATATATATATATATATATATATATATATATATATATATATATATATATATATATATATATATATATATATATATATATATATATACAGTCAACCCTCACTTTACGCGGTTAATGTAACCCACAGGGTACCACGGAAAGTGAGAAACGCGTAAAGTGAATAACATAACATATGGGATTAAATGAAATAGAGACCAGCTGACCCCCAAACTCCACTTTTTCCGACACAATACCTATGTTCTAGTAAAAATAACATCTTAATTTTATGATGGTACATGCACTAATTAATACTTAAGAGAAATAGAGAAATACAGTCGCCAAGTTAATGTCCATTCAAATAATGGACACAACTCCCTCCCCCTCTTCTCACACTACACTGCTGGCTCTTCCCTCTGAGAAATTTTGGGGGTAAAACCAGGGAGAGTAATAAATAATACCTCAAACTAAAGTTAGGATAATATAATTGACATTGCTGGATTACTTGTAAGACCAGGAATATTTTGAATATAAATGTCATATATTTTTCACAAAAGATAACATATTTACTCAGAGCAATCATTACATCTAAAATTTGTATGTCTAATGCAAAATCTATGATGTTTATATTCAAAATGATCATCAAATTGTAAGAATTCCAGCAATGTAAATTATATTCTGGCCGGGTAATTTGTATGAATTTTATGAGCTAAAACAAATATCTTCAATTAATAAAAAAAAAAAAATATTCTTCACAACACTATCTGTCAATCAAAGTACCCCACCTAGCCTCCCCCCTCTTCCAAGCGCCAGATGGTCAGTCCGTCCCAACCCTCCCCCCAACCTCCCACCAACCCTCCCTTCAAGAGAAAGAGTGTGTGAAAAAACTAGATTTTAACATTTAATATTAAATAATACCTCAGATTAAAGCTAGGATAATATAATTGACATTGCTGGATTCCTTGTAAGACCAGGAATATTTTGAATATAAATGTCATATATTTTGCACAAAAGATAACATATTTACTCAGAGTGAACATTATATCTAAAAATTTTATATCTAATGCAAAATCTATGATGCTTATATTCAAAATGATCATCAAATTGTAAGAATTCCAGCAAAGTAAATAATATTCTGGCCTGGTAATTTGTATGAATTTTATGAGCTAAATAAAAAAAAATATACTTCACCAGCGTATATGAGTAGATGCACCGCGTAAAGTGGGAATTCCGGTTCTGGCAGGGTACCACGTAAATGTAGAAACTCGTATTACTGTATATATGAATAAAAATAAAATATAAAATCGGCTCTCGACTACACCACCCTCCAGGATATATTGAACAGTCTCCAAAATTGGGCCACCAACAACCATGTCACCATCAACCATACCAAGACCATGGGTATGCACATCAACCCCTCCTACAAACTTGTCCCACCTCCCTCCATTATTTTTGGGCTCCAACACATCCAGGTTGTGGACTCCACAGCGTCACTATAGATAACAAACTAAATTGGAAAACACACGTCAGTACAGTTGTCAAATCCTCCAGTTTCATCTCCACCTCCTCGGCCGACTCAAGTCCCTCGGGCGAAGAGCATGCCAACTCCAAACAATACATGAATGTATGTGTGACGTTATCATTGTTTTCTAATCCATCAGCCCCTGGGTTCTTGACATGTTTTAGATTGGCTGTAGAGTGATACCAGATCTCGGAAAACCACATTCTTCTTCCCTGAGGTTGTCCACGTGTTACCCCAGACCTATCAGCATACTACACAAAATTAAGTGTTTGTTTTAATTCATTGATCAGAAAATAAACAAAATTCAGTGAAACCTCTATTTAATGAACTACAGCTCCACTCCAACTTATGACAGGGTTAGGGACCCAAATCTAGGTCGTAAGTCAAAATGGTTATAAGTCGAAAATGCTTAGATAATACGTAGAAAATAAAAAATGGGTGTCTCTTTTTCTTCTCAAAACCACAAAACTCTCACTTTTAAGCTTGCCAGCCATTTTAAAGTGAATTACAAAAGAAAATTTTGTCTGTGTACTGACGTTGGGACTCAAAAATACATAATTTGACAAAATTTTGGTACGACTGAGGCAGGTCGTAAGTGCGGGTGGTCGTAAGTCGAGTAGGTTGTAAGTCAGGGAGGAGCTGTATATAGAAAGAAAATTCCTTTATATCAAGGGTCCATTAGGTGTGAAACCTCCATCTAATGAACTACTGTAAATAGAAATGAAAATCTGTTAGATGTGAAACCTCCATCAAATGGATTATATGGAAAAAGAATTCTGTTTCATGGAAGCTTCACTGTATCATTGTATACATACTTTAAGAAAAAAATACTGTTTCAGACATTGACAGTTCCCTAATAGTGAGTTGAATGGGTTTGTTTATGTGCTAGCAGCTCTGATGCCTCACAAGACTTTGTGATTCGTAGAGTTTATACACAAATATTCTGACTGAATAAATGACCTTTATTATCTATATTTATAATAATTTATGTTAATAAAATAGTATTATTGTGTTCACATAGCTTTTGAAATCAATATTGCTAGTACAGTATTATGGTACGTGGGTTAATTTGAATAATAATTAATTTCAAAAGATATGTGACCACAATAACACAGTACAGTACAGTCCTACAAGGGGGTAATCTATTAATAGAAATAAACTGATAATATCAGTCTATAAATACATAATCAAACAATAATCACAGAATTTTTAAACTCCCCTCTGTACAATACTACACTTGTCACTAAGCTTTGTGATGTGTGACAGCTGCTGGTACACAAACAACATTCAACTTGCTATTAGGGAATTGTCAATGTCTAAAAGCTCAGAGAAACAAGAACTCTATATTATTATCCCATAAGATGCACTCCTCTTCAGCAGGTCTTTAAAGTTGTTACAAGGTTAGTAATTACACAAGCCCGTCAACAATTAAAATTTTTGAGGTAGAGGGAGGATTTACTGGAGCATCAAGAGAGGTCAATTGAAATGACCTGCCTAGGCAGCTGACCACAGTGAATGTCAGGTCTTAAGCTTTCAGGTAAGATCTTATGATAGGTTACCAATCCTGGCACAATGATAACAAGAGGATCATCTAGGTATCATAACAGTAGCCCATAATGTGTGATATATTCATATTGAATATAACAGGAATACAGTGTTCCCTCGGTTAACGAGCGCAATTCGTTCCAGAAGGTTGCTCGTTAACCGAAACCATTGTTTCAATGGGTTTTGGGGTAATTGGTTCCAGCTCACCGAAAATTACATACAAACGAAAAATAAATGCAGTAAAGTACACTTACTTTGAGGTGTGCATGTAGAAGGCTCCTGGTTGATGATGACGATGATGGGAATTAGAATAGGGGTGGAGGAGAAGGGAGAAGAGAAGGCATTGGGGTGGAAAAGAAGTCACCCCATGCCGCTTTTTCACCCATAAAATTTTAGTTCACTTGGTGTAATTCAAGATTATTTCTTTAAATCAACACTGCACTGAGCTATATATTTAATTCAAGATTATTTTCTTTAAATAAACACTGCACTGTGCTATATATTATCAATATGTATATTATATTTCAAAATGACCAATAATTTGACTGGAAACAGAAAAAAGCATTTATGTTGAAGAGTCTCAAACAAGATGTTCCTTCCTCTGAACCTGTAAACAAACTGACGCCAAGCTTGGTGTGTTGAGTGGCTGTTTGGCGCACATAAAACTAGTTTCCTGTACTTCAATTATGTTCAATAATTGTTAAAATGACTAAAAAATTTAATATAAAACTTTTAAAATGATTGAATATTGCAACCTTCTTGATATTTACTAAAATGGTGGACTAATACGACAGCTAGTGAGCAAGCGAAAACATGTTGAGGGGCGCTCGTAAGGAATATGTTAATCAAGGGATTGCTCGTTAACCGAAATGAAGAATCTTATGGAAGGTAATTCGTTAACCGAAATTTCGTTAACCGAGGCACTCGTTAACCGAGGCGCTCATTAACCGAGGGATCACTGTCATCAAATATAATGGTTTCAATTGATTTATACAAATTCAGCCCATGGCAAGTACAGTACAGTAAAACCTCGATTAACCGACCCTCTATTAACCGTCGATCCAGCCCCCCAAAGAGGATTAGCCCACACGGGCACAGGTCACTGACCCACATCGGGGCCTGGGGGGGAGGAATAATGTAATAATAATAATAATGATGATGATGATGATGATGATGAACCATAAAGAAATGCAAAAATGAAAAAAAATCAAGAGTGAGAAACAAGATACCTGTATGTTGTGTTGTCAATAGTAAGATAAATAATTGAGACCCTGCAATTGTGTGTACTGTAAATGAGGCAGAAAGTCAGAGCAGCAACCTGGGACTTGGTCACAATTTTCGTGACGCCATATGTTCTTTGACTTTTCCATTTTTTATTCACGGTTTCTGTGCTGGTTCATATTTATTTACTAAAGTGGTTAATGTTTTAAAGCAAATTCTATTGAAATATGAATGACAAATGAACAAAAATGAATAGAGGGACTTAAATGAGGTAGGTTACGGAAAGGTACTTTGAAAATGTATATTTTATTTCCGTAGACTTTATTTACTATTAACCGACCTTTTGTATTATCCGTCGGCCCCTTCCCCCCATACGTGGGCGGTTAATCGAGGTTTTACTTCCTCCAAATGCAACGAGAAGACAGGTACGAAAGTAACGAAGTAAAAGTACATTAGCAAAGTCAAAAAGTTATTCTAATACAAAAAAAATTTAAGTACTGTACTATCCTTTTAAAACACTCAAATCTTCCAGAAAGTGAAGGTTATGTTCCGGGAGTCTTGAGTAAAACCCAATTTCTATTCTAAAGTAACCCTACACAAGGTAATCAACTGCATGAGCTTCCACAAACCATGTACAGTTGCCGCCAAATGACTGTACCATGGCCTGGGAATGTGTGGGGGCACAGGTATGAGATGTGGCAACTCAGTGCCATAGTCATGGACATGAAACCATGGATTACCCTGTTTGCTGGTTTCCCGTAGTTCAGTCCTAGTCACTTGGTCGTGGCTATGCAACAATGCTGCATAACAAAAACAAGTAAAGCATCCTTATGATAATTGTTCTTCAGCATCGATGTGTGGCCTGCATCACAAACAGGGGTTCATGCCCATTAATTCAGCCATGACAACAGCACTAATGTGCCACATCTCATTCCCGAGCCCTCAAACACTCCCAGGCTGTGGTACAGTTGCCAGCAAAAGTCCTCCCACAATTTGCTACACCGGACTGTGGGAGAACTTTTGCTGGCACCTGTACATTCATATGCAGGCAACTCTGTATACTATATAGTATAGAAATAACTTAAATGATCAATAAATGTACGTATATAAATACAAAAGGGATTTGCATATCTCATTTTCACAATGTTTGATGAAGTGCAACTTCAGAGTTAGATACTACTGCACTCCATAATAAATCCAATACAGTATCTTGACTTTTTTTTTAACTTCTTACAGTATGACTTTTTTATGGTTCCCACTCTCAACACTACGAGCACTGTTACCGGTACTAAATTTCTTCTCAGGGCCAATGACTGTGGTAAAATTTGACAATAAAAAAAAACTTACGAGTACACATACCTGGGAGAGAAGAGGGACGCTTGGGTGATGCCTTAATGAGATTAATTGTAATATGGCACTCACAGAGGCTATTTAAGATATGCATGGTGGTGCATCTTCATTAACATTCTTGTTATGCATGACATTTAAGATAGGAGTTAGTGATATCTGATATTTAGATCAGATATCTTTTATGAGGAAGGGTTATCATACCCTTCACTTCTGAACAGAACAAGTGTAATAGTTTTACTTTGTTTTAGTAATACTGTACAGCACAGCACTTGTAAGGAGTTAACTAATACTGTATGTACAGTAGCTAAAACAACTATCTGTGCATACTTTGTGGAAAACAATATGAGACCATGGACTATAAATTTTGGTATATGAGGGCTGTCACTAGTCACACGTAAAATTTTGGAGCATATCGACCCCCCACCTGCACAGATAGTTGTTTTAGCTACTGTACATGGCAGCAGCAGAGATAAAATCCTTTACAACACCATCACATCACTTCATATCCTTCCGAACATCTCTGCTTGTGCACTCTATACCTGTGGTGTCACTACTGGTGGTGTTGCCAGGAATGGGCATTTGTTGTACTAATTTCATCACTTTGTCCAGAACAACCTCATTGGTACACTGAACAGACTCAGGCTCATATGGCTGTGATATAACTGCCACTTGAAGCACCTGAAAAAATGAATCCTCAGTTTAAAAACTGCTCCACCTACATCCATTCCTTGAAAAGCACAATATTTCCAAGCCATAGATGAAAAGTAAACCTTACTTGTATCCCCATGTCCTCTCTCACAGTGTAAGGCACACGATTTTCTGCCAGCCAGACGCACAGAGACTCCCGCCTTGCTGTTAACTCTTGGTTACTGTAGTGAACCTGCATGAGACACCAAAAATACAAAAATGAAATGAAAAACATTAGGGCAGCAAGGATTTAGTCAAAATGGTAATTTCACATAACTGAATGAATTTGTTAATCCGCTCAAAAAGCAAGACCTTTAAAAGTCAAAACCAAGTCCATTTGCAATTAAATATTTAGCATTTATGAATCATCTGAAGATTAGCTCCCAGGTAGTATTGGAGTGGTTTTTTTAATTGTTGTTCCTTGTGTGTAATGAGGATGGCTGGCCCTAGGACCACTTAAGCGTGAATTTGTTCAAGGTGTAGAAGCTGTCGCCAACACAACAACCACACCCTAAGTTAACAAGCTATGTGACCCAGTGTCAAGGAATACCGGTAGTCCGAGAAGACTGGACAACTCGCCAACTGCACTGGCTAACCATTACCCCAAAATACGATCTACAAATTGATTAACATCCAGGTCTCCAATTACTGTTGGGTAGACACAGGCAAATGGCATAAAGAAACTTGCCCATAGTTTCACCCTGCAAGGGGAGTGAACCCGGGTCTGCTCGCTTGTGAGGCGAGCATGCTGACCATTACACCACAAGGGTTACACTTCAGGTGACTACTGTACCAAGGTTGACAGGTCACCTGAAGATCTGGCCCCCCCAGGTAACACCACACACACACCTGAATGGATCTTCAATATTGTAATACTGTATTGTCAACATAAGCACCAAATCTGCAATTAGCAAAAAATGGAAATTGTCTAGGCAAGATAATGCCGTCCCTCCTCTTCCTGGCATACAAACAGTGGTTCAGCTGAGATCCATCATTCATAGTGATGAGTGCAAGTGCATTCTTTTGTATCTTTTTAATCATACTACAGTACTGTATTTTAATAGACTCATTGTGCATTCTTCTGTGTGGGGGTGGATAATCTTGAGGTCTGAACAAAGGGATTAAGAGAATGTACAGCACCTACATATGAGTTGTGATAATGGATTCCACATTAATATGATGTGGTAAAAAAATGCATCTTAAAAGACTAAAATGTTTAGATTACCTGTTCCTTCTTAAAAAGGTTGCCAATGGTGGAAGCTAGGCCTTCAGGTGGGTTGCTGTTGATAACCTTAACGTTTTCCACATTATATCCTGACAAGATGATCACTTCTTTACCATCCTTGTCATCAAATTCCACTAGAATCACACTGTAAATACAGGGCAGGTTTGTTACAATATGTAACTGAATCATAGAGTGAATAAGGTTTTCTTAAAACCTTTATTAATTGACTATTAGAAGAGGTGCGCAATAACAGAAAACAAGTACATAACTTAAATTTCTGCTGAAGCAATTCTGAATATTGTATGTTCTTAAATAAACATGATGTGCTGGATACCTAAAGTAATCTGATGTGTGTAACATCAGCCCATTTGTTCACTCTTGATCATCACACAGGTGAATTGGAACAATGTTATTACCAACTTCAAGCTGGTTTATGACAATTATTATAAATCCAGTATTGTACAGTATTTGGGTTTCAATGAAACTATTTAATGCTTCTTAACCTCTCAGACACTGGGTCAATAGTATAGACCCAGCCAGTGTGTTGTGTGTGGTTGGTGGTGGTAACTGCTACTCGACAGTGGAGCATGGACTGGTGCCACAGAGGGTCATTGGTGAACACCTTATGATGATCATTGTCACCTGACATGATGAATTCTCAAATGCCTGAAAAATTAAGAAAAATAAATATTGGATGTATTTATGAAAATACAGTACAGTATTTCCTTCACTGCTGGTAAACATGGTATTGTACTGTATCAATACAGAATTATTAATATTTTTTTAGGAGAGGGACCATTCAAGGTTCCTTGGTTATCTCTGGTGAAGTTAAGTCTTATCATTAAAGTTATTTAAGTTACATCTAACCATCTTACAAAGTACTGTGTTGCATTGTTCCAGTAATCTCTTAACAAAACATAAAATAAACTTTTCTATAGTCCTCTACCCTGATAAAACTTAAAACACATTTATTACTACTGTACAGTACTTGTATTTTGAAAAAAAAAAGCCCATAGCACACCAAAAGTATTTGGTACTACAGGTACTGTATAGCATTTCTTAACACAACTTCCAAATTCCTAAGAAAAAATAAAACAAATTATCACTGTTGGTAATACAGCCACTTCATATAGTTAAATAAGTGTCTGTAAGTAATGATGGCAAAGAGTACAACAGAAAATAAAGAAAAATGAGGGGTTGATTCAAAATCCCATTTTACAGCAGTCAAGGACTGAGCAAATGTAAAGGTCAGAACACCAGGTCTCGGAGTTGTAACCTGTAATGAGGTTCTAAAGACTGAACAAATTAGATAAAGAGATTAGCCTTGACCTTCATCCTAGGGCCAAAAGGATATCCACTTGGGAAAAAGGTACTGTATATACCCTAAAGGAGAAGGCTTAGGAGTTTTGTTACAAACATAACACGACACTTCAATCATCACATTTGTTGATACCAAGGGCGGATCCAGCGGGAGGGTCCTGGGGGTCCGAACCCCCCCCCTCCTGTTCACCAAAAAATTACAATACTTTTCTTTAATGCAGTACAAGTACTCCCCGACTTACGACAGGGTTAGGGACCGACATCCAGGTCGTAAGTCGGAAATGATTAAATAACACATAGAAAATCTAAAATGGGGGTCTCTTTTTCTTCTCAGCACCACAAAACTCTCACTTTTAAGCTTGCCAGCCATTTTAAAGTGAATTACAGATGAAAATTTTGTCTGTGTACTGACTTGAGACTCAAAAATAAATAATTTGACCAAATTTTGGTACGACTGAGGCAGGTCGTAAGTGCGGGTGGACGTAAGTCGAGTGGGTCGTAAGTCGGGGAGTACCTGTATTGTACTCAGGCTTTTTTGTATAGTAAAAAGTGTTTACTATTGACTTCAGAATATCTCCTAATATCAAGTGCACATGGCTTCAAAATGGTCAGATATTGGTCAGATTTTAAAAAATTCTGGGGAGCTTTCAATGGCCCCCCAAACCCCCAACTGGGCGGGTTCACTGTGCTTGCCATGTTCCCCCACCCACAATTTCTTGGACCCCCCCTTGATATTCCTGTATCCGCTCCTGTGATACTGGTTATAAAGTCAATCCTGGTCATCTGCTTCATACCTAGTCCACCTCAACAAACCAATGGAAAGGGAGAGGGATCCTAACTTACACCTCTTACTAAACCAATCTAATGTTGGATTAATAAGAAGAATAGTAAAGATATAATAACCCTTAAATTCTCCTTGTCCCCGGCAATATCTAAGATGAAGAACCAGTAACTGCCCTTCACACTGATATCGTGGTAGAATGATAACTTGACAAACTGTGAACCTTAACTTTGCTGGATCAGTCCTAACACATGCAACCCTTCAGTGCATCCAGACAAAACAAGATAAATTATAAAATGTGGACAATAACCTTTATGACTTGTGGTCTTGATAGCACAGTACAGTATTGTCCCTAACCTATCATCAGGCTCAGTTCTCCGAAAAACATCCATCGTGTATAGTACCTAACTTACAGCATGAAGAACATCTTGTTCTCCCCCACTTTTTGACCCAAAGATGGAGCTCAAAGTGAAAAACAATTGCAAATGGACAAGCTGAACCAGATAAAGACATAGTCATTTACCCGGTATTGATCTAGCTATAAAGGAGAAAACAAAACAGTAAACTGAATCATCTTCTGAAACATACAGTACAGTATTGGAAAGAGAAGAAGAGAGATAAATCTGCTCTCAAGAAAGTTGGTTAATGGAAAAGGCATCCAGCCACAGTCCCACACCACAGGTTTTCTTCATTTACTCCATTTCCTTCCAGTAGTGTAGTGTAGTGTAGTGTAGTGTAGTGTAGTGTAGTGTAGTGTAGTGTAGTGCACTTAAATGACACCCATCAGAACAACTAGTATCTGTTTTGTCCAGTTTTTGCCTTCCCACTAAGACAATTGGGTCAGGTCAAGAGTTAAGTTAGGTTAGGTTTGGGGGAGAGTAAGGTAATATAAGTTAACCAGGAACTTGAATGCATATTTTCTCTAGAAGTTAATGCTTCCTTACCTGGTTCTTGTTCATAGTTGGATTCTGAGATTCTTACACAACGCCACATATGTTGGTCTTTGCAATGTTTACATTCAGTCTTGCTCTTAGTACTGAGGTTGGAAGAACACCATGCGATCGAAAAAATGCCACAGTGTCTTCTTCTTTTTCCCAAAAACTCGCAATCGGCTCCATATAATTGAAGTGACACCCATCGCAGACTACCATGGTCGAAACTGAAGTTACTGAACTTGAATTTCGAAATATGAGAGACCCAAAATAAAACTTGAATTTGATTGGGCCAAATATACCGCGAATTAAACCAAAAATCATTTTAATCAGTTTAAAAAAAAAAACGCTTTTGATTGGCCGCGTGACGTGTACGGGAACGCATGCACGTGATGATTTATGAAGGAGACACAGGAGACACAGTGTTGGAGGAGAGACAGACGATAATGGTGGAAGATTAATGGAAGAAAATAGAGAAAATTTTAGATAAGCTATCTCCGTTATTATACATTTTCCCTGGTAATGTAATAGATGAAAATGATCTAATAATTAGACGTCTTATTCGAATATGATAATAGATTAGTGGTAGGAATGAACGGTGTGTAAACGCAATAATACCATTATTATTTTTTTTCGAAAAACATCCCACGAAAAAAATCGAGAAAAAAACCGGTCAATTTCCGACGGAAATGATGGTCATATTCGGCCTAAACACACACACATACACTAGAAAAATATATTTTTGGCTTTCTAACAGAGTGGGAGGTGGAAGGGCAAATTTACCAATTCGTTTACTGGCAACAAGTGAAATAATACCTAAGGGTTATCCAGTCGTTTACTTAATAAATTACAGTAATCAAGAAATGATAGGTGCAGGTTTCATGGGGATCTAAATTCCTGAACAAAATGAAAAGGGAAAAACATGATCATTTCTTTACCATAGTATATTTCAAAGGCTAAAGCCCACGCTATGCCATTGTGAGAGGTACTATACACAGCCCATTAGTACTTGTACAGCTGAACCAGGGCCGGATTAAGCTTAATAGGGGCCTGAGGCACAGATCAATTTGGGGCCCCCTACCCTCAAGGTATATATAAATAACAAGAACAAAATATACCCAAATTTATCAATGATTTCATCAATATTAAGCTTCTGCAAAATAACACATTTAATGTTCATAAAAGACAGAAAATTGAGACTTTGCTAATGCCTCATGGTTAATCCGGCACTGAGCTGAACAGATGAATGGCTTTAAGTAGGCTTCTTGACACACGCGGGGATAGACTCACCACTGTGTTGTATCATGGCAGAAGGAGGAGCCACACTCTCGGGGATAGACTCACCACTGTGTTGTATCATGGCAGAAGGAGGAGCCACACTCTCGAGGATAGACTCACCACTGTGTTGTATCATGGGAGGAGGAGCCACACTCTCGGGGATAGACTCACCACTGTGTTGTATCATGGGAGAAGGAGGAGCCACACTCTCGGGGATAGACTCACCACTGTGTTGTATCATGGGAGAAGGAGGAGCCACACTCTCGGGGATAGACTCACCACTGTGTTGTATCATGGGAGAAGGAGGAGCCACACTCTCGGGGATAGACTCACCACTGTGTTGTATCATGGGAGAAGGAGGAGCCACACTCTCGGGGATAGACTCACCACTGTGTTGTATCATGGGAGGAGGAGGAGCCACACTCTCAGTCTCACTCAGAGCGTTGTTGTTGTGTACCACGTACCTAACACATTCGTGATTACACAGGCCTAAACATATTCTAACTTTGGTAAGAAGTAACATAATATATAATGTCTATATAATCAATAAAGGCAGCATATAAACATACACATATATAACACACTGCATGCCCAGTACTTGCCAATAGTGCGTAACAGAGACGTGACCGACTGCCCAAGCGGCTAACGAGCCGATCAGTGGTGAAGTTTTAGTTTAACAAATTTATTGACAAAGCTTGTAGTACAGTTTGCCTATTCTGAGTAATTCAGTCAAGTCTTGACACTGAGGGTGGCATAACTTCTCACTGCCACGTAGGACAGAGGTTCATACACAACATCATATTCATTCACAGTATATATATATATATATATATATATATATATATATATATATATATATATATATATATATATATATATATATATATATATATATATATATATATATATATATATATATATATATATATAATATAATATTAATTTCATTAGCCCATAAAGCGTATAATCAACAACCTCACCCTGCCAGGACTTGAACCCATGATCTTGTAGTGGAATTCTCCCCTACAAACGCTGTTTGTCGCTGCCTAGCCGACCCCACCAATTCCCCAGTGTATGCCTCGTGGTCTAGGTCAACCAGCGCCGCCATACACCACGGAGCGGGGGTCAACTGCTAAGCCACGCCTACCCCCGCTATTTAAGACCTGACCTCGTGGTGATCTGTCTCACTTTCTACCTACACCAACCAGCCAGCAACACCTCCGCCTGCCTGGCGGCCCTCGCTCCTCCGCCTGCCTGGCGGTGCTCTCTCCCGCTGGCGAGCATGGCGACCCACAAGCTGTCCTTCTCTGAGCGTCCTCACCAACCAGCTCTCTCTACATCACGCTTGTAACCATGCTGCCTTCCCAGCACCAAGCTGCATTGTACATCCAATACAACATGTATATAGAGAGCACATCGTGATTTCCTTTCTCCATTCCATCCTGAGTGTGAACAAACAATGGTGACTCCCGGAGATTCGCACTCACACAGGATGGAGGAGAAACTGATCACGCTCCCAGTCTTCAAGCAACATGGAAGACTGGCTTATCCACCCAGAAGCAGCTCTCATCGGCTCTACAGCTACTGTCTCTACACCGCAGGTTAGACACCCTAGAGCAGCTCTGCTACTCTAAGCAGACACCAGCTCCTCTTCCTGCCCTAAGCACCACGTCCTACCGACCCCAGCACACCCGTCCTGCCTCAGACGCCGACCCCGGCCCAGCAGTAACCCCTGCCGCCCTTGATGCGGCCTCTGTTCCTGAGTGCGGACACACACACCCCTCTTTTCTCCCCCAGGTACTCCCTGCTAATGTCCTGCACCCTGCTGCTGTCGTGGACCCAGCTGCTGTCACGAGCCCTCATCCGCTTCTGCTGACGCAGCCCCTGCTCCTGACCCAGGCCCACACACCCCAGCAGGCGCATCTGACGACTCTGTACCTGCCGTGAGGGAAGAACAAAATTCAACGCCTCCACACACCCTTTTTCTCCCTCTCTTCTCCCACAGATAGTGTGTATATAGACAGTTGTATCCAGCGACCGGCTCATCCACGCCATCGCCGTTGTCTCACATGAGGCACGCACCGCCCGTTCTGCCTCACATGTGCTATGCAACCCTGCAGACAACAAGTCTCCTACACAGCCTGGAGGGAAGGGGGAGTATTGTAGTGGAATTCTCCCCTACAAACGCTGTTTGTCGCTGCCTAGCCGACCCCACCAATTCCCCAGTGTATGCCTCGTGGTCTAGGTCAACCAGCGCCGCCATACACCACGGAGCGGGGGTCAACTGCTAAGCCACGCCTACCCCCGCTATTTAAGACCTGACCTCGTGGTGATCTGTCTCTCTTTCTACCTACACCAACCAGCCAGCAACACCTCCTCCGCCGCTGCCTGGCGGCCTCGCTCCTCCGCCTGCCTGGCGGTCCTCTCTCCCGCTGGCGAGCCGACAAGCTGTCCTTCTCTGAGCGTCCTCACCAACCAGCTCTCTCTACATCACGCTTGTAACCATGCTGCCTTCCCAGCACCAAGCTGCATTGTACATCCAATACAACATGTATATAGAGAGCACATTGTGAGTTTCCTTTCTCCATCCCATCCTGAGTGTGAACCAAACATCTCATACCCCACAATCTTATGTAATAACCTAAACCTATCCTTAATTTAATATTTTACATAATATAACATAAACATAATAAAAACTTAGCCTAATAACCTAATGTAACCTGAAAATAACCTTTCCTGACAAAACCGAGATATGCTAGGGACTGTCAGTTGGTTGAAAATGTTCAAAGGAGGGCCACCAGACTGGTGCCTGCACTTCGGCACGTCAACTACCCTGAGAGATTGGAGCGCCTGAACTTGCCTAGCTTATACGACAGACGGGCAAGGGGGGACCTAGTTGAGGTGTATAAGCATCTCAGGGGGCACTACTCAGTTGAGTGTCCATACTTGGAGCTGGCGGACGCTCGCCCCACAAGGGGTCACAGCTCAAGATTGAAGAAGCCGCAAGTCCCGAAAACCGTGAGAACAAACTTTTTCGAAGTGAGGGTTGTAAACTCTTGGAACAATCTACCAGAGAGTGTTGTGACGGCACCGAGTGTGAGCTCTTTCAAGACCAGACTTGACCAACACTGGAGCGGGTTCAGGTACATTCAGGAGCCGGTGCATGCCCAGTACTTGCCAACAGTGCGTGACAGAGACGTGACCGATCGCCCGGGCGGCTAGCGAGCCGATCAGTGGTGAAGAGGATAAAAGTAAAAAGTAAAAGTAACCTAACCAGTGGTTACTTCATGGTTAAATATTATTATTTTGCTTTTATCCTCTTCACCACTGATCAGCTCGTTAGCCACTTGGGCAGTCGGTCACGTCTCTGTCACGCACTATTGGCAAGTACTGGGCATAAACTGGCTCCAGAATGTATCTGAATCTGCTCCAGTGTTGGTCAAGTCTGGTCTTGAAAGAGCTCACACTCGGAGTCGTCACAACACTCTCTGGCAGATTGTTCCAAGAGTTCACAACTCTCACTCCAAAAAAGTTACCCCTCAGTTTTCTGGGCTTGCAGCTTCTTGGACAAGATCTGGGATAACATTAAGGTCAATTTAAATATGCATTAAGTACTATAGGATAAATGTTAAGTCAAGGTTTTGTTAAGTTAATGTCACATCAGGTTAGGTTACATCAATGATATGTTAAGAGAAGGTTATGTTAAGTTAATGTTATGTTAGGAGAAGACCAAGCAGATTCTTTCCCTTCTCCACACTTTTTCATTCATGCTTCTTAACACAAACACTTAACTCAGACTTCTTCCTTTTTGAACTTCGACTCTCTAATTTCTATGGGTACTCCTTAACTGAATAAAGTTATCTGGCATTAGGCTCAGAGGATTAATAGATTTCCCTGTTTCTGCTACAAATCTCTCATTAAAGACTTAATCTCCATCTTTCATTTGCTCTCCTTTAACATTTGGTCATCATTATCTTTACTTTCATTTTAAAATTCCTGTTCTCCACCTTCTTTCATTACTCCGTTTGCAAGTGACATTCATATGCCCATCTCTTTTCCTTAATCATCACCTCCAACTTCTTTTCTCATTCTTATTCCAATTCCTTTGTACCCACACTCCTTAGCTACACTATTAAACTGCTCACAATCCTTTACAACGCCTCTCATTTATCCCCCACTTCACTTCCTTTTGGCTTGCAGACAGCTCAAGGGTCTATTACTTGTAGGCTTAGCTCAAAGAAAGGGAATTGGCTTAATCTGAACAAATCTTAGGAGGGAGTTAATTTTGATATCCGGAGATTTACATTAATGCTGACTCGGACTAGCTTCCTGGTGATTATGGGGAAATCTAGAAGCTCTCATGGATAGTATTTTCAATTTCTAGGTCTCCAACGGGAACTTTAAAGGGGTCAGTTGGTCATCCAACAGAGGAACTTTTCTCAGTTTCTAGGGAAGTATGCTGTGGGGTATGAAATTGTTTGGTTCACACTCAGGATGGGATGGAGAAAGGAAACTCACAATGTGCTCTCTATATACATGTTGTATTGGATGTACAATGCAGCTTGGTGCTGGGAAGGCAGCATGGTTACAAGCGTGATGTAGAGAGAGCTGGTTGGTGAGGACGCTCAGAGAAGGACAGCTTGTGGGTCGCCATGCTCGCCGGTGGGAGAGGGGACCGCCAGGCAGGCGGAGGAGGAGCGAGGACCGCCAGGCAGGCGGAGGAGGTGTTGCTGGCTGGTTGGTGTAGGTAGAAGGAGAGGCAGATCACCACGAGGTCAGGTCTTAAATAGCGGGGGTAGGCGTGGCTTAGCAGTTGATCCCCGCTCCGTGGTGTATGGCGGCGCTGGTTGACCTAGACCACGAGGCATACACTGGGGAATTGGTGGGGTCGGCTAGGCAGCGACAAACAGCGTTTGTAGGGGAGAATTCCACTACAATGCATTCTTGTCCAGGAGAAAAGCGTCTTGCGATTAGTGTGAGCAGTAAGGACAAGTACAGTATGTTTGATCCCCGGGGAAGCCCGATAATGGTGCAATATTGGTGAATGTCCAAAAGATGTGTAGTCATGTATAGGAACTATGAAGGTAAGTGAATCTAGTTTTTAAGTTTCCTGAGTTTTCATATTAATGTGGAGTAGCTGGTGCCTCCCATTTTTGTGAGTTATGGAAGAATAGAGCAGGAGAAACATCTTGTGATTTGCATGTCCACAGTGGCATGTATAAAAAGCTAATCCCCTTCCAAGATAGATCTGTGAAGCCTTTATTGTCCTTTGTTCAAAGTTCTCCTTCTCTATTATGGCAGTGTACATTACTGTACTGGGATTTTCAGTGTCAGG